TCTCCCTTCTTCGGGGGTTTGACAAACGGCAGGTATCTTTCCTTCCCCCCTTTCAAACACTCTGCAGTTGTGGTGCGAGCATGTCCACTGCAGACGTCTCTGCGTCTGTTTTCAGTGCTTCTAGAGGAATTCTATCTGGCCCTGCTGCTTTCCCGGATCTCAGCAACTTTGTAACGTTCAAAAATTCTGCTTTTGTCGGAGGGCTTGTGTTCACCGGTAGTTCTGCGGTTCCTGATGGTATTTCTGGACGAGTTGCAGACGGTGGTGGTGGTCGGTTCAAGGCTTTCTGGAGTGGTCAGCTCATCGTTTCCTTTGTTTCTCTTCTTTGGTAATTAAATTTCCTTCATCATCTTTTATTGGTTTCATCTGTGTTGATCTCTTCCCAGATAGTGACCTGGTTACTTTGTACAATGTTGTCAGGTCTCTCCTACCTGCAGCCTGGTCTGCTTCACTTGCCAGTGTGTCGTGGAAGTGTCTTTTGTCTTTGCACGCACTCTTCTTCACTTCTTTGTCCAGCGTTTTGTAGGTTGTGTTCAGTTCTCCTTTTCATCGTTCATCTCTGCACTGCACTGCATTGCACTAGTTCATCTTCTGCTTCACCATCCTCCTCTCCCTCCTCTATCAGCTTCCTTGTATCCGTCGAGATCCATTCCTTGCCTTGCTTCCACCTCTTCCCTCCTAAGACGGTTATGCAGGTTTCCTTCCACATCTCTTTCAAAGAGTTCCAGTGTTCTTCAGCGCAGGCTCCCTCGGGGATGTTGCCTAATACCTCCCATTTTTCCTGATTGCCGACGTGAAGATGTCCTCTGAAGTTTCGTCCTTCAGTTCAGTTTCTGTTCTGGGTGTTCAACTTGAACTGTTGTCTATCACCATCTTCTGTGAAGGCTTTCAACTTGATTTCGGAGGTTCCTTGCACCAGATAGTGGTGTGAACCTACATCTGCTCCCCTCCTCCTTGTGTCCAGTAGGCTACGTCTCCAGTTTCTCCACATTCACATAAAGTCGATCTGATTTTTAGTGTCCTGGTGTCCGGTGAAACCCATGTCGCTTTGCGAATATCCTTGTTTGTACACACTACCTCCAATCACCAAGTCATTAAATGAGCAGAAGTCTGCAAACAGTTCTCCATTCTCCTTCATTTCACCGAGTGCTTCTCGGTCCGTGATTAGTTCTCTTCCTGTGTTATCCGCTCCAAGTTTGGCATTCAAACATGTCACCCATTAGAACTCTGGTATCGCCAACTGGGGTGTAGTCTTGTCCAATACTGATTGCAGTTATCCGGAAGGCTCTCACCAAATACCGTCGCTTCGTCTCTCCGATTCCAGCTAGGAGCAAGTTTATTTTTACTTATTTCCTTTTCTTTGTGCTTTGAAGTTTCTTTAGCGATCGCATTGGTTTTACGGGGTAAGGTTGTTGACCATGCGCCCAACCTCCCCTCTTCATTCGGGCTTAGGACCGTCAAGTAACTAGTGAACCAGTTAACCATGTGAAGTTGCTTGGCGGGGTCGTGGCCGTTAATCTGTGAATATGATCCAAACATCTACCGGGATAGGCGCAACTGTGTTCGTCCACAATGGGAAGCCTTCCTGTAAGCGAAGTGATTATCATGACTTTCTTGGAGAAGCACATGCATCTTCAGTTCAGCATCTACATGGCCTGTTTGTACACAACAACCTGAATTTTCTGTCAAACAGCGTAGCAACGAAAACAACGTTTCATCCGTCCACAAATTAGAGGCCTCAACCTTATGCACTACATCTGGCTTTCACGTTCTAATGAGCAACGTCTCTCCTCACTAACCTTCTCATGACATGACTAATAAATAGTACATTTCCGAAATCTCAGACGCACAGCTGAAGTCAAAGACCTCTGCTTAAGTGTTTGCCCAAACTGGTGTGAAAGCACCCCGCTCTATTGTTGGTTCTATCCATCATGAAAATTGCTACGTATATGTGGAGAGTTACCTGCAGACTACCGTCGCTGTAGGCCAATGTTATTCTGTATTCTACCCCAATGGTACACTGCAGCTCACCAGAGCTAAGAAGTCGCTACATACCGGTGCGGATACTTATTATTACCGTGAGTGCTTATCATTCTTAAGCTGATGGCTTTCACAGCAGCACTGTAAAAAATTCATGTTTTTGCACTGGAGTTACTCAGTAGTAGAACAGCGTGTAACGTAGAAGGCCCGGAAACAGTGGAACAAGATGGACAATCGTGATAATCGCCGCAAATAATAGGCTTAAAAAACTTAACACTGACTGTGCTTGAAACTTGAGCTAGGGGGGCATAGTTTTCTACCAGTTTTGGGATTCTCTTTCCACCTCACCACTCAGTTTTTGAATCCGTAGTTCCATAAAAACCAACAGCTTCTAAGAAACTTCGCAGTCGTATGCTGACTTCATATACGTGCCAAAGGTGAAGGGACACCTAGAGAACTTGGATGTGTGATCTCGTTCTAGATATGCTTCATCTACTCACCAAATCCATGCCAAACAACATGATCACACAATGCTGCACTTGTGCCGGGTCTCGTTATTGCTTTCTCTGCTTAGACAGAAGTTACGAATCTTATACAAGCAATTAATTTGTCGAAAAATCGTAAGACGAGATCATTAGTTAAACAGTCCATGCATCCCGCTGAATGATCCAACATAAGCCTTGCTTACCTGATACTACACTAGTTGGGTGAATCCTGCTACCAAGGTACGTGGTAGAACGAATGATCTGTGGGACACCTTAATGCCAGTTTCCGAATGTCAGAATTATTAAAAATGCATCAGTTTAACACGGGAAGAAAATCAAATGGTTATCGTGATGCGAATGAAGCACTATTAGATTCCCAAATACAATGTCATACTCAATGACTATAACATGGAAAGCCGACACTTCTCCCCACTGGCAGTTTAGACATCGCTGAGCTTTTGAGCTCACACTTCCAAGTCCAACTTACTACCTACACCAAATCCACGCCGGCTTATTGCGGCACTGACCAGGTCATAAATAAAGAATACCTCTGCCACATCTCAGTCACAGAGAAAAAAGTGTTATAGCAAGTATCTAAGCCACATCCAGGCAAGTCCCCTGGCTGTGATAACCTAAACCGGCGTTCCTAAAAGCTGCCCCGAGGTGCTTGCAAAATCAACCTGCAGCCTCTTCAAGCACTCAGTAAATTCGTACAAACTCCCTGAAGAACGGAAGAGCCCCATTTTGTCACCTATCTTCAAGGGAGGAGACAGGAAAAGCCCTCGCAGCCACAGGCCAATTGCTCCTCTCCTCTATTGCGTCGAAAGTGTTGGAAAGCCTGGTAGCTGACACTGACTGGGAAATCCTCAATTGAGAGAACACTGTGCATACTCCTCAGCATGGATTTCGGAGTGGTCATTCATGTGCCACCAACCCACTAACCGCCTGGGACCACTGGACACTAAGGTGGGACAACAGACAATCGGTACAAGTTGTTTTTCCCAACCCAGCCAAAGCATTTGACAGTGTCCCACCCACAGTCCTGCTTCACAATATCATATCGGCAGGTATAAGTTGACACCTATTCCTTTGTCTCAAGACGTTCCTGGAAGGGAGGCAGTTCTGCGCCAAAGTAAACAGAATAAGGTCGGAGTGGAGACCATCGAAGTAGGGAGTATCCCATGGAGCAATCTTAAGACCACTTCTGTTCCTCCTGTTTGTTATTGATCTACCAGAAAAAATATCCTCACCCATTCTCCTATCCTCTGACGACACTAAAATTTGGAGGGTGATAAACGAAGAAGCCGACTGTACAGCCTTGCAAAAGGACTTGCATCAGCTCGAAATCCGGTAGTCGGAAAATGACTTCAGCTCCAATCTGGAAAAGTGCAAGGCAATGCACATCAGCAAATACGAAGCAGGTGCGATCGACTTCTGGTACATGTTGAGCAACCGTGCTATCACCAGTGCCCACGGAAAAAGATTTGGCGCTCAGCTTCTGCGACGCCCCGAAACACTAGCTCAAACTACAAAGGTATGACGACCGGAGCGAACGCCATTCTACACTTTCTGCGTAGACAGCTTGGCGCCACCACCCCTAAACGCTTCACCACCATTTTCTAAACCTACATGCGGCCGCATCTAGAGGTCTTCAATACGGTGGCTCCTCCAACACTCAAGAGAGACTCTAATCCCCTTGAAAAATACGAGGAAAGCCCTACCGTTATATATCGCCACAGCTTCCTCAGTCGACTCACTCGAGAGGCGGTTAAACAGTCATATCACCTCGCATGGGCTATCATGGACGTGCTCAGGGATTCATCAACTTCACTAGCCCACCCACACCTTCCTCCTTTCCACCTCTCACTATTTCGCTCCTTAACACACCCACATTGCCCACCCATTCTTTTCGAGGAAGCAGACCTACGGTATCTTTTTTTACCATTCTGGAAATTCCCGTGTACTTTTCTCTCTTTTATTTCTCTTCTTTACCACCTCCCGTTCTTTTTCTTTTTTTCTTTTCCTCTTTCCTTTCCTTTCCCTTCCCTTTTTCTTTTTTCTCCATTATTTTCGTTCTTTGCCATAAGCTTAATATTCTCTTCCAGGTACCTACACAGACAGCAGTCATGACAGTCCCCTAACCTTTCCGCAACTCGTAGCTCCCCAATCACTCTACAAATCACAACTTACTAACCCACAAAACATCCACCTCACCGAGGCTGGAAGCAGGAAACAGAGGGGAGTTCCTCTTCCACTGGAGGAGTGAACCGAACAACTCGAACCGAGCTCTAAGAAATGGACACAAGAGATCAAACTGTCGGTTTTCGCACTCTCAGTATCGGAGTGGATATTGGCGTAATATAACAGGTACTTTATTCAGCCAATAAAATCTGACCTAGTTATATAATGTTGACCTCTAAGACACAGATCAACAACACATATAAGCTTACCAAACTAACAATAATTGTGAAGTTCGAGAGGCTTTTATCTGGCATCTAATACTCTTAGTAGTTGTACATCCAGTGGTTTCGACACGCATTCAAAACATTGCGCTACAACGTTTTGCCTAAGAGTACAGTTATTTATGTAGATGGGCATCTTGATCTTTAAAGGTGTAACTTTTTATGCATGCAAAAGATATAGTTTACAAAAGAATTCCTCGTACTACCGGCATTGAAAAAAAAGGTCCTAATAGAACACACTTGGAGCCAACTGGTTGAAAGAATGTTAAAACTGAAAAACGCCCAGGTTTTTAATAACTTTTAGTTTTTCCACCTTTCTGGAGCAAAATACAACTAAGTACGACTACTCTTTGCTTCCGGACTAGTACTAAAGAACTTTAAATCTTTAAAGAACCATAGATTACGTGGTGACTTGATAACGGCTTACAAAATACTAAGTAACTCGAGTCGTTCGAACAGTGGAATCCTACCGAACGGCCACTGTGGTGATCCTTGTGGTAACCCAAGGAGATTCGCTCATCAAAGGGCGAAAACCCGTGTGACGCTACACTTCTGTCTGCGAGTTTGCGGCCACTGGAACGCATTGCCCGTGAGATTACTACTCCTCCGTTTGTTGACGGCTTCAAGAAGACCTTGGACGGTGGCGCAGCGATGCACGGCTTGCGCTTATCAAGCTGGGATATGGACTATTCTGACACGACCTACTAACTCAGTACGGTCAGTCCATCATCGAATACTTTGTAACACCACTATCAGTGTGAACTTGGTTCAAACTTATACTTCCCTATACATGTCACCTCCGGTTACCGCCTCAAACTAATAGAATTACTACTCTATCCCCATAAGCCGTCCCATAGTGTTATTTTCTCCTCTTCCTGCTGACTTTACGTTCTCGTACCTTAATACAGGCTCTCCTCATCACCTCTCTTCCATGAATCTACCGATGTTTCTTCTTCCGTACTGTTTCCTTTCAACTCGTCGTTTTTATCTATTTATTTTTCTTTGCGCTCCCTCTCTCTTGATTTCTCTGGACGTATTTTCCATCTCTTTTTTTCACAACCAGTCCGACCACTTGTCTAGTGGCACGACACTTGAGGAACCCATTTGCATCACAGTCCTTGGAAAAAAACAACACATACTGCCAGTCAGGCTAACCAGAGCTACAACAGTCTGGGGGGTAGACCGACTGGATCGGAATCCAGCAAAGACCTGGAAGCGTTCTGAAAGACCTAGAAGCGAGCGCGAAGAAATCAATTGGTTTACACTAGCTCGTAAAAGGATGTTGAATATATGGTACTTATGCATAATCTCACTTCTCAGTACTAAAGACAGTGAACCAGTTGGACTGTGTTAAAGCTTTCGGAAGATATCTCTGTGAATATCTGATATCTTCTTAAACGCGTTGACTGTGGGTGCTTATATTACTTCCTGAGGTAAGGAGTTCTAGTCGTTGATCACATAATGAGAGAAACTCAGATTCATGCTAAGTTGATTCGACCGCGGTTTTGAGATTTTTTTGCGATGCTGTCCAAGGTAATCAATCCTGCCAGTAGGGAGAAGATACAACATATCACTACCGAAGTCATTTTTAAGGATATGGAATGCCAGTATGAGACCACCCTCTTTCAACCGACAAGAAAGCAGAAATAAGTGTAGCCAATCTAGTCGTTCCTCATACAGCGGACTCAGAAGGCCTGCTACACGCTTAGTGCCTACCCTTCGAACACGCTTAAGTACATCAGAATCCCTTTTTAGACATGGAGTGCCTGCCTGAATTCAGTATTCCAAATGAGGTCTAACGTAAGCAGAATAGAGCCTTCTGAGCATATCCTGACCAAAACTTTCGAACACTGTGCGGATGAACCATAATACACCGAGGCCTACTGCTGCGGCTGCATTACAGTATGCCGAGGTTTCCAAATCATGGCTTACGATGATGATGATAATGATGATGACGCAGCCTTTCAGTTCAAAGACTGGGAGTAGTGGTGTACCATCAACGGAATACTAAAAACAATTGCTATGACCAATGTGCATCATTGCACTTTTACTAGAGCTGATTTCCAAGTACCAACATTTGAAACAACCTACTAGTTCATCCAAATCTGCTTGAAGTGCATATCTACCAGCATCAATACGTGTGACTCTCCAAACATATACATAATCGGCGAATAACAGCACCAAACAGATGAGCATTTCTAGTAATTCCTTGATATATGACAAGAAACGTAGGGGACCTAGGATTGTTTCTTGAGGACTGTAAACTTCGTTTATTTCGTGTGGAGCGTTCGGATCCCCAACTGTTAGGTATCTGTTGCTTCTACTCCAGTTGCTTATATGAGTTAGCACGAAGTCATTTGCAAGGTAAGATAGACTACGGTAAATTACCCCAAAAATGCAGCAACCTTCCTTTGACTTCAGCTCACAACTGGTTACTTCACAGGTACCGCATTCATGTACTTCTGAAGCGACTTACCGTATTTGGACATCATCATGAACATAGAGTAATATACCTATTTATCCTTACACAATAATACTCTGTTATAAATGGCGTAAAATCTAAATCCTTTATTAGACAGGTTTCAGTAGCGGCCACTAAATCAGTATCTTGTTCATAGACTAAAGTTTGGAGGTCTGTCAATTTATTTCTAATGATGCGGACATTGGTGTAACTTGCGTTCATAGTGTTTGGAGAGTTCTATGACTCAGCCCGAAAACCCTCAATTTTAAGATTGTTTTCTCCACTAATTTGTACAGCCTCAAGTTCATCGATTGCTTCTCTTTTTATCCGGTCCTCGACAGGCCAGTTTGATCTGATGCGGATGTCTAAATTTCGCAGTTTGGATGTTACTCAGAAGTATATCCATTTCTTTTATGTTGCCTAGAACCTTTAAAACCCTCCTTTTATCTGGTTTGGCATCCATTTTTTCCCTATCCTGACTACTTTAGAGCTTCTAGGCCACGTCAACATTTTTGGGGAGCTATGGGGCATTGTTCTGTTAAAAGCGGTAGGCTATGCACTGAAATCAGTCCTTTTGTCTGACTCTTGTTTCCATATTCTCTCTTCTCACACGACCTAACATCTGAAAGATTTCAGATATAAGAGTATGCATACTTACATACCATAATTAGCTTTATAAACAACAATCAGATACATGTTAGGGAGCATTGTGTGCCAAAATTCTTATACTTCTGTCATGCTACATATCACGAGTTCCATTTCTGGCCTGAAAAGCGGTAGGATAATAAACAGGAAACACAAATCTATAAATGGTAATATATTGTTGATTAAAGTTTCGCAAATCCGTAAGATCACCATCTCTTATTTATTTGAAATTGTTTTCAATAGCGTTTTGTATGAATAAGTTCATTGCATTTGATGATGCAGACATCTCATCCTGCGAATTGTCATAGTAATAAGAGTTTACTTTTGCCCCGTATCAGCGCTTTATCTTTTAAATTAATTCTTAAGGTTATGAAGTCAAGTACTCATACCTTTCAATTTGTGTACTGTAGAAAGTTTGTAGTGATTTTCAAAATCATTAAATGAATTCGTTGTTTCAGTACTTGTCAGATCTAGAGACGGAAACCGATGCTTATCTAAGTGTTTGTGGTTGAAAGATATATGAAATGATATTTGAAAACCACATGCCATATGCTTCTTGAACTGCTTTTCATATCCACTTCGACGTATTTATGGACTTGTAAATACTGAGAACGAAGTTGCACTAAGTGGAAAAACGTTGCTTACCCGTTGTATTTGCCTAAAATTTACATAGACGTTCCTAAAATACAACAAAGAGGTTATCTTGCTTATTATTATTTATGATATCAGTATTCAGTGACTTGTTTCTGATAAGTATTTCTCTACAGTTCCTCCGCCTATAAAAATATGTCCTTCAAGTTGTGGAGGTTAGATACTTTTTGAATGCAGAAAGTGGCATACGTATCATACATATTAACATAAATATTGTTTTCAGTGCCGTCTTGCTCAGATTCACTGTTTCTTTCTCCTCTGTAGGTCTCTATGGTGGTAAGTGTTGAAATGCGTAAACATCTTCATACTGTGAACTTTTTCAGAATTCCAACCACCAGTTGTTTCATAAGCAAGCACACATTGTTCCTGTAAATAAATGTTTATCATATTTTAAAGAGCATTCAATGCTTGTAGTGTCAAACTACTTCGTTGTTTCCAAGTAAACGAGTAGAAATTCGTAAGTGGGTATTTCCAGGAAAGTTGCTGAATGAAAGCGAACGATCGATTCTATAACCGTATTGATGTACATGGATATTACATATAGGTTAGTTGAAAAGTTCTGGTTCTTGATTAGTGGTGCACATGGACCTCACCACCCAAAATGTAAGCTGTGCCTGAGCATATCCTAGTCACTGGAAAAATATAGGAATACAGCACCTCATATTGCTCCACTACCTTGTTGATCAAATGTTAAGGGTTGAAAAATTTGTCTCAAGATAACAATCTGCTTCGGCTTGGGTGTCTAGGCAGAATCGTCGCCCACATATAATTTATAAACCAACATTAACAATGAAGACCAACTAAGCCCTTATCATCTCTTCCTGCACAAAGCAAAGTGCATGGTGTAGCAAGCTGTGCTCAATTTTCCCATGTCATCTCAAGAAGTTTATATATGTGTATGTAATTGGTCTAAAGTAGGTGTTCTATGTGCTTAGCAGTCACCCATCACTATTACCTTTCTCCTTAAGAAGAAATCAACTTGAATGATGTGGGCAACCTCAAAGTGTTACCCGCTCTAAAAACTGTCAGCACTCAAGATCACGCAGATCGTCATCAACTTTGTAGACGGTTGCCCTCTAATCTTTCCTCATACCACTCTTTCAATATTCGTAAGTCGACGTTAATTTGTCCCAGGTCTGCATCGCTTAATAACTATTAAAGTCAACTGACCAGCCTCCGTGGTCATCTGCAACTGGGCTCCAAAATATGCGTAGGAGCATTCAGTGTGCGATAAATCGAACAATAAGACTTGTCTGCCATAACTTGGCATCTCAGGCTATAGACGAGTGCTGTGTTTGCGAGACATACATACAGGACCCAAGTGCGGTTATTAAATAAAACGGCCCAAGCCAGTCTGACTACGCTTCGGATGAAGTGAAGGATTATTATTATTATTCGTCCCTTGGGTTCCTAATGGAACATATGGCTTCAGTAGCACGTCTCCAGTGCACTCTCTTCTCTGAAATCTTTCGAACCTGGCTCCACAACAGCCCAGAAGCTCTCATTTCTTCCTCACACGATCTCCTCCATGTCACCCTCAGACGCCCAACTCGTCGCTTCCCATCTGGGTTCCACTCGAGCAACTGGCCTGGTGCGTGATGTCCCCAGACAGCCTTCTCAGTGTATGCCCAATCCATCTCCACTTCCTTCTGAATATTTGTTCAGCGATAGTTTCTTGGTTGGTTCGTTGTCAGCCAGCCAGCCAACGTTCCTTGTTACTTATTATTTCTGGCCATCTGAGCTTCAGTAACGAGCCAGCGTAGACAGTTGTTGATGAATGTCTGTAGTTTGTTGGAAATCCCTTTTGTAACGCGCCAAGTTTCTGAACCATACAGAAGCACTGACTTGACATTGGTGTAGAAAATCCGGATCTTGTTCACGCTTCATGCTGAGTGCAGAAGATCTCCACACTGGTTCCAAGTTAATAAACACCTGTCTTGCTTTTCCGATCCTGTCTGGCCTTGACGTCCTCGTCTGTGCCGCCTGTAGTTGGAACAGTGCTGCCTAGATAGGTGAAGGAGGTTACTTCCTTTAAGTTTCTCCCGTTGATGGTGATTGGAGCTTGTTGTTGTTGTTGGTTGGGTATCTTCGTCACCTCTGTCTTCTCTACGTTCACTTGAGTGGTGTCCCGTCTTCGCTGCCCTGCCTCTTCTGTCAACTTGTTAGTTTCTGCCTATAGATCTTCAAGTTTGTGTGACATTAGACACAAGTCATCGGCGAAATCCAAGTCTTATAGGTTCTTTTTTCTGGACGAAGTGCAGGTGGTGGTCGATTCAAGAGCTTTTGGAAGTGGTCAGCCCATCGTTCCATCGTTCGATGCGCAAATGGGTGGGTTAAGCCAGATACAGAGGTGCATACGTGGAATCCTGGACGAACGAACAGATAATGGCGATTTCCTGCTACATCTCTGCCCAAACAATCACCTTTTGAGTCTGCACAAATTTCAAACATTACGGGAGATTTTACCTCACCTAGCATCCACTGATATCAAATTGATGGTGAACAGAGGTAGAACATATTGCTGCAGCTGCCACTGGAGAAGATTAGTGGGAGATTGCTGCTTCCTTTCGAGCACGTGTTGGTTACTGATCATGTGTTGATTTGAGCGCGCGTATATCTGTGCCTGACTAGACGTATATTCTTATTGCAACTCGATGGTGAGATTACTAAGGCTGCTTTCGATGAGGAACTGACCAGACAGTTATCGGAAGAGGGTAGCGTCAGTCACCCTGACTAAGCCTGACGTCATTCCCAGTCTGCTGTATAACAGCTCTAAATATCTTTACTGGCTTTCAGAAAGTGGTTAATAGATGCTTACGAATTTTGCCATGCAGGCTGTATGCACAATGAGCAGCGGAAGCTGATAAAAATTTTACACAACGACTTCGAACAATGATAGTTATAGAAGGCTAAGGAAGGAGATGGAAAAGGTAGGGACTATGCGAAATAGTTGATGGTTATTTACACTTATCAAATAAACTAGGGCAAAAGGTCAGTGACAAGAGCAAATATAGTGGCGAATGATGGGTCTGTGATTTTTTATCTCGGGAGGTGATCGAAACAATGACTGGAAAACATGAAGGAAGAGTTCAACTGGCCTCTTGCTAATATCCTGCCTTGCAATATTCAGTTGGATCCTAAATGGAACACAGAGATGGGGTTTTCATCGCTCTCAGAAGTCTAGAAAGCTTCAAATAGTCTGAAATAAAGAAGGGACGCAGGATCAGATGCGCTAGTACCGGAGGTATTCAGGCCCGGTAGTCGAAGATTATTGAGGAAGTTAATTCAAGTGTTAACTGACGTATGTTATTCACATATAATTGCTCCTGACTGGTCTCACTAATCGCCTCAGTTCTCAAGAAAGGCGGAATATCCTGGAGTGGTACTCACTTAGGAATCAGTCTGGCTATTATATTGTGTAAGATTCCATAATTATTAGACATCTAAGTGGAGCTAATAAGCAAAAAACTCCATATAGCCAGGCAAGATCCAGAGTTGCTTGTCATTACGTCGATAAGATATTCATCCTCCGTCAGTTATTGGAACACGGGCACACTTATGGGTCCCGGAAACTAGCTATATTTCTTATCACAAGGGTTATATGTAGCTCTTGATCTAGAAGTTTTACGATGGTCTTACTGAAAGGGGTTTTGAGTCTGTAATTGCATCACCCTGTTGAAGGCTGTTTACTCGAATAGCCATGAGTTTATTTGAGCCTACGGTAATTTATCAGGTTAGTTGTACGCGTCAACCAGTGCTCATCAAGGATGTCAACATTCTACAGTCTTATTCAGCTTCATCAGAGATGTATTTATGGAGGTCTTTCTCCTGTCGTCTAACTTTACAGGGATTGACCGTGTCATAGGAGATTCTTTGACCATCACAGACCACATAGATGACAGTTATGTTAACTAAAGACACTGATGACGTTAAGAGTTTACTGCAAACATTGAGTGAAAATTTGAGAATGGTTTAGATGCGTTTCTCGCTGCACAAATCCAAATCGTTGCTCCAGTGTTGGTCTGCGTTGGTTCCTCATCTAACAGTGAAAAGTGAAATGACTGAGCACAATGACCATTTCATTTACTTGAGAATTGGAATCAGCTTTGATGGGTCAATGACCGAAAAAATCTCAGCACGCATACAAATGGTTTGATTGTCTTTCGCCTACTTACGCATATTTATGACGCTGCCATGAAATGCGATTACCTATTTTGAGCCGAGTGTACTACGCTGCAGTTCTCTCCGTCCTACTGTATGACTGAAACAACCATTAAAAGTTGAGGATATGAGAAGGCTTTGCCTTCGTAACATAGACCATGTTTCGTGCTACCACTACGTAAGATAGAAATCACGTATAGGATTTTAGAGAAGAAAGTCAACTGATGAGGTTGGGAAAATTCATTGACTGAGGTGACCGGGACATGTGTCACACATGCCTAGTGACCGTTTGCCTCATAGCACAATGTTAGCGAACGCAGATTCATGAAGGAAAGAGGTTAGAGTTGGCAAGGCTAAAACATACTATCAGTCCATGAGATGTTTGACTGTTGATCTGAACTCTGTAGGGAAGTGTAGACTCTCCGGTCAAGGTCCATGTGACATGTGAAGTTGATGGTTGGAGACAAGGTGATTTGGCTACTAATCGATATCACTGGTGCATATGTATTCTTACGCCATCTTCATCTTAATTGTCATTCTGAATGTTAGTATTGTCTCATTCCTGCTTTTCCGCTTTCATAAATTCCTACCACTTTTAATTACTTTATTTATTATGTCTCTGTGTGGCCCTTTTTAAAACCGGTTGCAGATTCGTGGAGGTATTCGCTCTTTGACTTACGTAAATGTTTCAACATTTTTACTAAGCTTCAGTTTTTCATTTGCTTTCCTCCCACATTATTTTTGTGCTTCAGTATCATTCTATTCATGTCCGCTCTCACTTTGCATACTGCTGTGAATTGTTGCCGCTTGAAATCAGTGCACCTTTTTTGCGAGGTTTTGCGTTGATTTACATACTTTCTGTCTTTCAACCTGTGTCGATGTGCTCATATGAGATGCGGCAATGTGAATGGATACATGGTTATGCCATCTTTTATGCTGACTAACTGAATACTTTTTTTCCATATTTTGTGACTTTATTTGTGAGTCAGGTTATGCTGATACACTCTCTTGCGCTATTTCACCCTCTTTTGCCTCTCTTTAATGCACTACTTAAGGGAATACATTGTTTTACTTATTTTTAGCACAAACAACTTGATAACAAAATGAAGTCTCATGAAGTGTAGGACTAAAATTTATAAATGGTTGGTATCTGTTTGCAACTTTCACTTCTAGATTCTTTCTTCATGTCTGGTTTACATGGATACTACACTTAAGTATAATGGGCGTAGCAATTGTACTTGCTTATCACATAATTTATTGGGTTAGCTTTACTAGGCTTGGTAGGCTGGTGACTGAAGATATGTCTGCGAAAATACAAAATATCGATTAGTTGCTTTCGAATTATACCACTGCATCAAAATGTGTGTCTAATAAGAGCTAAGTGTACCATGCCAATATGTTCTATACCGCCATGCAAATGTTAAAAAATGATCAATAGATCTGATATATTTGTGAAGAAATCAAGCACTGAATCCATATAATCGCTGGCATGTAATATTATAATCAGAGTGATGTGTATTTTAAGCATGTGGGTAAATGGATGATATTGTGAACCATGGTTAACTATAGCGGTTAGGACAGGTTTTGCATGCCGAACTGTCGTTTGCTTCAACATATTATGTGTACCAGATTAGGATTAAATGTGTTTCTATTTGGTTATGCAATACTTAGATCCCGACTTATGATATATACGGGGAAGTATGAACCTGCTGGTGGATTTGTAAGGCAACTTCAATAGACTTTTAAAGGTTTGTATAATTTAACTCAAAAGCAATATCGATAAGGCAGATACATCCATGCGTTATCTTCCTCTAGATCTTAAGTGTTTTATGGACTTGCATGTGCCATGCACATATTGTTTTTATGCCTTCTCATTGTTCTTTAACTGTGAATATCGTTTTGTATCTATGTTGATTTTCATTGACTGTACCGTTGTAAGTGTCAGACAGATACAGAAATGTGCTATTTAAGTTATCTATAACTGAATGACTTCATATTGCGGTCTACTGGCTTCAAATAAAACTGTTTTCTTTTTGTCATATTGTTCATACTTTTATAAGCGTTTATGCTTTACTAATACAATAAAAACATCTTTAAAGAATCACATGTACTAATTTTTTTAACTAAAGGATTTGTTTGACATTCATTTCGTATAGGTACTTCTTGTATTGCCATCTACTTACGTTTCGCGTGACGCTGATGACTTAGTTTAGTACATTAATTTTACTATTCAGTTAGTCAAAAGGATTAATACTTGTGTTGTGAAAAGGTTCAAAAATGTACAGAAAAGCTGGTGTTGCATCAATTAAGAGTAAATCTCTTACTCAGTCGAAGTATAAAGAAAAAAGTGATGAGTTAGCTGGAAATCAGATTACAACTTTGTCACGTCAGTTTGAACAAGTTCGTCAGGCACTTGAACTATTCGCTAGTAAACACAGAAACAAGATTAAAGAGGATCCTCAACTGCGTTCACAATTCCAAGCAATGTGCAGTAGTATTGGTGTCGATCCTCTGGCGTACAGTCGTGGATGTTGGTCAGAAACTTTGGGTTTAGGAGAATTTTACTATCACCTAGGCGTAAAGATAATCGAAGTAAGTTAATGTACAATTCACACTACACTTCATTATTAAACCTAAAATCGCTACTCACCAAATTATTTTCTATGTCATTCTACCACTCCTATCACTGTAAGATGAGGGCATTACTCAGTGTGCACTATTTTACTACTGTAATATTGTGTTTTTGGAACGGCATGGCTTACTTTTTTGGCTGTCATTGTCGTAATAGACAGCTAACTACTTCAGTGTAAATTTCAAAACTCTGTTCATCATTTCCACATCGACCTGTTCTGATTCTATCTGTCTTCTTTAACGTTGCTATCCCCACACGAATTTATTTCCGATTAATTGCTATGTTAATTAGATCGTTGACCAATCAATCGTATAGCCATTTTTCACTGGTAGTGTTATACGGCTGTTTCTGTTCCGTTCTACCGTTATGAAACATGGCCTCTGAAAGTGGAAGACATGAATGGGTTACTGGGTTTTGATCGTAGGTGTCTTCGTAGCGTTGCTCGCGTTTAGTGGGATCACCGTATGAGCAATGTTGACGTCGAGCGAAGGGTACTAAGCAAGACATGCAAGTCGATTGATGAGGTTGTGAACCTTAGTCAACTGAGATGGCTTGGACATATACTGTGCATGCTGAGCCACCGCCTACCTCAGCGTGCTATACTAGGTTGGAAAAAGACTCAGCGTGGCCTGATCAAGAAATGGCGCCAGTCGATGAAGTCTCTTACTATTGGTCTGAGTCGTGTGGGGACGATGTATACTACTTGATCGGGGTCCCCGAGACCAAAGACATCAGTGCTTGAGGACTCTTGATGATATGGCTGAAAATCGGTCACAATGGCACAGATGTCTTCACTCCTTGATATCTTCTAAAGCCTGAATATTTGCACTGACCTTTGGTATAGAAGTAAAACTTGGGCACTGTGGTAGATTGTAATTCCATTTAAGTCTTTTTATTAGAAATCTCACACAGTGAAACAGTATCATTTACTAGATAACGACTTAATTTATTGTCCTTATTCACATCAGGTAACTTTGAGACATGGTTTAAATAGTTCTAATCTACTCTTCTCCTTTGTGACATGAGTAGTAGAATTTTGCATATATCTGGGACAGATACGGAATCATTTCCATTACATGTATTTAGTGTTGATTCGATAAACAAAGAATCGGTTGTCAATCTCTCTCTTCGCCCAGCTAAGCTCATTTTTAATATTGTCGCCCTATTACACCCTATTGTGTAATTACGTGTATAGCTATAGCCGAGCTTTTCTTATCTTATTAGGATCTACCAATCATGATTTAACTAATTTTTTTATGCTCTTTTAGTCTAATATGCCCTGGTGAACTACTGTGACCTATGTGTTAAACCTCGCAATCATTGCAAGAGATTAAGAAAACCAAATTATTCGGCCCAACTGAATCAGTAGAATCTGTTAACCTACTAAGCTTATTTCTGAGCAAGTTTATTGATTCAGATGCCACTCGAATCGCAGTCCTATTAAGAATTCTTCTTAGCCTTTCTGAGGTGCCTTCTTTGTATGGTAACATAGTAACATCCTATCACCATTATTACCAATATTGGTAGAATTATTATTACTACTACTATCGTCGCAGATATGTTTATCGATAATTGGGAACGGTTGGCCCTTCAAACATTTAGTCCTGCTCCAAGGATATGGTTCCGATATGTATAGGACACATTTACGGTACTGAAACCGAAATAAAAATATGTTCTTGACGCATGCAATCCAATTTACCTATGACTTAGAAAGTGATGATGAGCTAGCAATGTTGGATTGTGAGATTAAATGAAAACAAGATGGAAGTTTAGAGATCGGTGTCTGTAGGAAACCTTCCCATTCGAATCGCTACTTAGACTTCGAATTATCTTATCCAATCTCAGTTAAAGTAGGCTTAATTAAATGTCTAAGTGATAGGACAAAAGTGCTTACTGATAAGACAGGAAATCCACGAAAAGAAATCAGACACATCAAGAATACCTTGCATCTCAATAATTACCCATCTAAATTTATGAGTAAACTCATAAGAAATCGAAAGGAAAATATTAGCAGTAGTGGTAATAGTAACACATATGTTTTTTCTGAAAATGTTATTGTCTTTGAAGTTTGCCTGAAATATATTTAATAATAAAGTTATGAAGACATACATTTTTCCAGTTGACCAGCAAGGTGTTCTCAATTTAATTTTTCAGCTATCAAGAGTACTGTAGTGTTTATACACAACTCTTCTTACTACAATGATCACGATAACAAAAAACAAAATTTTGCCGTCCCGTTTCTTTTCATTTGGATATCAGCGTCATCATGAAAAGTATTGACTGAGCAGTTGATGGGTAATAATTCTGATTTGATTTGTATTCTTTAGGTCAATCTCTTTATCTCAATCTGCAATTCATCATTTACACATCAGTCATCAGAAATTTTAAATGTTGACTGGTTCAAAAGTAACGTTAAGTGGCTAGTAATACAACTGAAATCCCTTTTACTTTCTATTCAGACGAATCAGTGTTCCAGGGTTATGGTTCCCATTGAGTTTAACTCATCCATCCCTTTATGTAACATTGTTTATATTATCCATGGTTGTTGTTCTGTTTTTTGACTTATTCGGTTCATATTGAAGTATTTTAACGAAGTGATACCGTCTAAATACTACCAACGTGATGGAATCCTGAACTATTCAAGGAGTCCACTTCACGATCTTCTAGCCGTTTACCAACTCGCTTCGGTAATATGTCTTTTCTCATAGCTCTAGAAGTTCCCATCTGCTTATTTACAAGTTTATATTACTCGCTACGGTTCACATTCTATATTTTCGGTATTACCTTCACTCCACTAAGTCACCGTTATTACCGTATTTTAGACTTCGACCTGTCATACAATACAAAAATAATGTGTCGCAATTTTGAGCTACCTGTAGCTGCTACTGACAAGCAGTCAGGTAGAATGGATCAGTGTTATTGTAGAATACCTTCCTCCCACTTTCTTCAAAATGTGTATGAAACATTTTTATAACGCCTCAAAACTACACTTTTGATGATGTATAAGTGTCTAAGTTTAATTATACTCTTTTTAAAATTTATAGGCTTGCATGGCGCACCAGAAGTATACTGGAGGCATCATCCCCGTACAAGAACTGGTATCTTTATTGAACAAAAATAGGACACGATATGAGTCAGAAATTAGCGTAGACGATGTCAAGAGATCCATCAAAAAGTTACGCTGCTTGGGTACAGGATTCAGTCTCATCAGTCTACCTGGTGGTCAGTCACTTGTTCAATCAATTCCTAGTGAAATGAGTATGGATCAAACTTTAGTGCTAGGTCTCGCAGAAAGTTCTAACAGTCATACGACAGTTTTCTGCTGTGATGAGCAAGTTAGTATCACTTTTATTTCTCCTGTTCACGAGCATATTCTTGAGTTCTTGTAAACAGTAATTTCGAGAGGTTCCTAGATGTCGTTTTCAACTAAAATTCATTAGGAAAAAAGAGAATTTTCGGTTTATTCATGATAATTCACAAAGCATAATTCATCGACTTGCATTTGATAAACTGATTTCTCAAGCTAATACTGTTTTGTGTTTGTTTTTGTTGGTCAATTCGATAACGGAAGTACAACAGATCGTGTTATATTCAATCTGTTCCATCGAACAAATTGTCGTTTAAACTGGAACTTTAATTTCAGTGATTTCAAAGGACCTCGGACGTTTTGTTAATGACAAAAGTGGTTGCATGTGAGATTAGTTGTTGATTATCTGGCCCACCTTAATAATTCCAATTATCAAATGTTGTCCATATGGTCAGATTCCACATAAAAAACAACCAATGAATGCCAAATCGAATCATCAATATAACACTAATACAGAGTGTTAATCGTTAAAACTGATAGACAACGGATAGACCTAACAAACAATATGCAGATGAGCTAAAAGAAAAGGTCATCATAATTCATGGCGTATTATTCTCCCCACTGTGTATTGATCATTTAAAAGATGTTCATTTGAATGGTATACCTTCGAAGTTTATAAGCTTTTTGGGCATAATGAAATACTGAAAACCATCATTCTGTATGTTTTCATTATGGTAAAATAAGAAAGATTTATTTTTGAATACTTTGGAGAGTTCATTATTGTTTAAGTAAAGTGACCCACTGTGTACCAAAAGATTATCTATAAAATGCACTCAGTAACCATGTACATATTCGTGCAGTAGGTAATAAGCCAGACCTATTATGTGAGGGCTAATGATACTACCTAGCTGCCTAAACCACGGTAGGTGGAGCAAGGCTCGAACCCGTGACCCGCTAATGGAGAATCATCTCCCTAAACCGGTGAGCCACAGCTCCACACTTTGACTAGTACTGTAGTGGGTGCTGCTGATAAGAATTAATGTTAGTAGTATATGTTGAGGGGTCAGCAAAAGTCATAGGCAATTACCAGCGATGAATAGATATTCTGCTCAGAGAAACACAAGAGACAATGTGGGTGTATTAAAAGCAAATGGAGATAGGAGAAGAAGAGGAAATGAAGCACATTATGCAAATGACTATTTTAATGGAAAGTGTACAATATTTCATCAGTACTGTACGAAATGTTATATTAAACACTCCTTCCTGCATCTCAATCTTCGTCGTTTTCTATAGTATGACGTATTATAGTATCCTTTCAATTTTGGAGCAAATAAGAAGTATTATACAGACATTTTCTGGATGAAAAACGCCGACTTCATAAAGTGATGTTACTTCCACACTTTCATCGCATACTTATTTCACTATCAACTGATTAATCACATTGCCAAATCTCTCAATGGTTTCTTTGCAGATTCCATGTTCATATTATATTCTTCAACACAAGCTAGTGAGAGTTAGGATTCTGCTCACCATGTAAACATTCTCGACTATAAAGTGCAGAAAAGTAAATATGATTGCAGAGATTTCGAAAATCAAAACGCCCTCAATAACCGCATTCACCTTCCTTCAGTAGAGGATAAACAAAAACTATTGAGTGTGGCTGGAAGAAGGAACTTGTAATACTACTTGTGTCCCCAGACCTAATTAGATGGAGTGGAGTTTGAACCGGCGACCCATCGGTTGAACGTCGACTACCAAGAACAATGAATCATACCTCCAGAAGTCAATTGGCAGAAATCCCAGTTTAACGAAGTTTTGGCACTCATCAGCCAGGTTTCTGCAATACTGAGGGAGCTCAGTGGACACAATTCAGTCTTTATCGATAGGTTTCGGTCAGTATAGAGGACTTTATAGGCACATGAAGTATGAGCTAGTGATGAATTCCATATGTCTAACTGATCAATTGTAAGCAAATGATTATCAATGTACTTTAATAAAGACTCACTTGAAACTGTCTTTCCCAGCTGTTGGATATAAGCTGTGCTAAAGGTCTGTTGGACCTAATGGATTAGTCACATTCCTTCGAAATTTTGAGGGCAGACGAACGGTACTGGGAAAGATAGGCAAGTCGATTGATGAGGTTGTGAACTTTAGTTGACTAAGATGGCTTGTAGACGTGTTGTGCATGCCGAATCACTGCCACCTCTGCGTGCCATGCTAGGGGGATCCGGATTAGGCTGGAAGAAGTCTCAGGGCGACTAGATCAAGACGTGATATCAGTCGATGATGTGTCTGACTGTTGATCTGAGCCGTGTTGGGAGATGTAGACTAGTTGGGTGGACTCCTAGTGACGATAGTGTCGGTGATTGAGGAATCATCGTAAAGTGGTTGAAAGTCGGTCACAGTGGTCGAGATCTACTCACTCTTTGACATCTTAAATATTCACACTAACCTTTATCTTCAGATCGTTTATTCTCTCACATAACTTTGCCCCATTCGTTATCATTCTTATTCTACCCACCTGTCTGTATACTACTGTGAAGTTTGGTAACTTGAACCGATGTACTTGTGTATGAGGTTCTACGTTGATTCCGTCTGCTTATCTGTTTAAAATTATGATTTCAGATATATATATATATATATATATATATATATATATATATATATATATATATATATATATATATATATATATATATATATAATTGTGAACTAATAAACCTTGTTTGTTGGTTGTGTCAGTTTGAATCAAGATAATACTCAAGTATTTAACTACTGTGAATCAGGTTGATTGTGATCCAATTAAGGAATTACGAATTAATTTTATCTTATAGCTTTAAATGTCAGTGCAGATTTTATTATTCTGGTTCTATATAAATCAGCATGCCAGCAGTTTTGTTTAAATGTTGCCTTATCTTATTGGTCTGAAGTTATTCTTGCTAGGAGTTATTGATAAATACTTGTCCAGTAAAGCATTCAAACGAGTGTGGTTATCACTTTAATATCACCATCTTATTACGTATGCGTACGAAATATAATATAACGACCCTATGCAATATAACGGTGTTTAGAAAAGAATTGTTGTGATGTAGATATAAATATGTTTGTTCATGATTTCCTCTCTTTTAGATTCGATTGGACAAAGGATCGTACAGATGCTGCTTTTCATCATTTAGTTCAAGAAGGTATTGCCTGGGTGGATGACTTAGATGCTTGTGGTGAAAGAGTATTTTGGTTCCCCGGTTTTATGAGCACAGTTATTACGTCATAAATGTGCATAAAATATAACTACTGCGTTTCATTTCTTATTTTAATAAAGTATTTTGCTAAACAACTAGCTTTTCTATATGGTGTGACACCGTAGGAGGGAGTTGTTAATTGTGACATTAGGCAGATTCCTCATTTTGATTGCTAATCTTGATCATGGAGTCCTTCGCGTAAGCAGTTGGAAGCGGATTCACGCTAGGTGACTTAGCGTTAATAATTTTGACTGGTAGTTGAAATGTACTAACTCGAAAAGCGAGATGTGGTGTTTTCAAACACTATAAGTATATGGAATTCAAAGATGCGGACACATTTCTGTCGTTTACATTTGATACCACTAGGTGAAATGAATGAGAATGGAGAATTGTTTGCAGAATTCTGCGCATTCAACGATTTGGTGATTGGAGGCAGTGTGTTCAGGCACAAAGATATCCACAAAGCGACATGGATTTCACCAGATGGACACACTAAAAATCAAATCGACTTTGTCTCAATCTCAAGAAAATGGAGACGCAGTCTACTTAACACAAGGTCAAGAAGAGGAGCAGATGTAGGTTCAGACCACTATCTAGTGCAAGGAACCTTCCAAATCAAGTTAAAAGCCTTCAAGGAAGCTGGTGATAGACCTCAATTCAAGTACAACACTCGGAAACTGAAGGATGAAACTACAAAGGAGATCTTCACGGCAGCCATCAAGACAAAATGGGAGACGTCGAGGGACATCCCTGAAGAAACCTGTGTGGAAGAACACTGGAAGTCTTTGAAAGCTATGTGGAAAGAAACCTGCACAACAGTATTAGGAAGGAAGAAGAAAGAAGATAAGGAATGGATCTCGACAGATACCTGGAAGCTGATAGAGGAGAGGAGGATGGTGAAGCAGAAGATAAACCAGTGCAAGAATGCTCAACGACAAGAGGAACTGAGCACAATGTATAAAGCACTGGACAAAGAAGTGAAGAAGAGTGCACGGAAAGACAAAAGACACTTCTACGAAACACTGGCAAGTGGAGCAGAACAGGCTGCAGGTAAGAGAGACCTGACGACATTGTATCAAATAACCAGGTTGCTATCAGGGAAGAGACCAACACAGATGAAACCAATAAAAGACGAAGAAGGAAATTTAATTACAAAAGAAGAGAAACAGAGGAAACGATGGGCCGACCACTTCAAGAAGCTCTTGAATCGACCACCACCTGCACTTCGTCCAGAAATACCACCTGCAGCCGCTGAATTACAAGTGAACATTAATCCCCCAACGAAAATGGAAGTCCTGAACGCCATAAAGCTACTGGAATGCGGGAAAGCAGCAGGACCAGATGGAATACCGCCAGAAGCACTGAGAACAGATGCAGAGACAACAGCGGACATGCTCACACCACTATTGCAGAAGGTGTGGAAGGAAGAGAAGGTACCGGACGATTGGAAGAAGGGTTACCTTGTCAAACTGCCGAAGAAGGGAGACCTCAGTGCTTGCAAGAACTGGCGCGGAATCACTCTCCTGTCCACCCCAAGTAAAATATTAAGCCGCATCATCCTAGAGAGGCTTAAAGACGCACTGGATTCAAAACTACGACCGGAACAGGCAGGCTTCAGGAAGTACAAATCATGTGCAGACCAAATTGCAACGCTACGCATCATCATAGAACAGAGCGTAGAATGGCAATCAGCTCTCTACCTCAACTTCATCGACTTTGAGAAGGCCTTTGACAGCGTCGACCGAGAAGTAATTTGGAAACTGCTTCAATACTACGGAGTACCGCAAACCTTTATCCGCCTCATTCAACAACTATATGAAGATGCCACATGCCAAGTAATCCACAATGGGAAGCTCAGTGATGCCTTTGAAGTGAAGACAGGAGTGAAACAAGGTTGCCTACTATCCCCCACGATATTCCTTATTGTGGTGGACTGGATCATGCAGCAAACAGTAGGCAGCGAGAAGAGGGGGATACACTGGACGACGGAAAAGAACCTAGAAGACTTGGATTTCGCCGATGACTTATGCCTAATGTCACATAAACTTGAAGATCTGCAGGCAAAAACTAACAAGTTGACAGAAGAGGCGAGGCAGCGAAGACGGGACTTCAGGTGAATATAGAGAAGACAGAAGTGATGAAGATACCGCACCACCACCATCAACAACAACAACAAACTCCAATCACCGTCAACGGGAGAAACTTGAAGGAAGTAACCTCCTTCACTTATCTAGGAAGCACTGTCTCAACTACAGGCGGGACGGACGAGGACGTCAAAGTCAGAATCGGAAAAGCAAGACAGGCGTTCATTAGCCTGAAACCAGTGTGGAGATCTTCTGCACTCAGCATCTGGAACAAGATACGGATTTTCAACACCAACGTCAAGTCAGTGCTCTTGTATGGCTCAGAGACTTGGCGCGTCACGAAAGGCATTTCCAATAAACTACAGATATTCATCAACAACTGCTTACGCTCGCTGCTGAAGATCAGATGGCCAGAAAAAATAAGCAACAAGGAACTCTGGGAACGAACCAACCAAGAACCTATCACGCAACAAATATGCAGAAGGAAATGGAGATGGATGGATTGGGCATACACTGAGAAGGCCGACTGAGGACATCACGCTTCAGGCCAGTTGCTCGAGTGGAATCCCCATGGGAAGCGACGAGTTGGACGTCCGAGGGTGACATGGAGGAGGTCGTGCGAGGAGGAAATGAGAGGTTGTGGGCTGTCGTGGAACCAAGTTCAAAAGATCTCAGAGAACAGAGGTCACTGGAGGCGTGCTACTGAAGCCCTATGTTCCACTAGGAACCCAAGGGACTAATAATAATAATATAATAATGTTGAAGTCTATGTTATGAGAATTTTCCTTTTACCCAGTGACATTTTGGAAATGTTGAAAGTTACCAGTATCTCAGAAGTTGATGAAACTCGATTTGTATTGATTGTAAAAGTTAATCTCGAAAAATTTGTAATTTAAGAAACAAAAGTCGTCCTTAAGCAATACACTACAGCTGTAATAGCATTTTTAAGGCAAGAGTAGCGGATATTGTTACGTGAAGTTAGATCTCCTCTAATGGCTCACATAGGCACTGGTTTCAATATGTGATATATGATGTATAGTCCGCGTTCTCACAATCAATTGAGGTTGTCTTCTACCCAGTTGGATCTTGAATGGACTATTGGGATAGGACCTCCAACGTTTGCAGAAGTTGAGAAGGCTTTTAATAACCTTTAACGAAGGAAGGGGGATATGTGAGTACTGAAAGCATCTAAGGACGGTGGTCATGGATTGTTTACCAACTGAAGTGTTATCTAGTTTATCGGAATCTCCTGTGACAGTTCTCAATTACTGATAGTCCTAATTTTCGACAAAGGCGGAATATCCTCTAGTGGTATGCACATGGGAATCGCACTGAAGAACATTGTGTCTAAGAATGTAGGTTCTGTAATTAGCAGACGTCAGAGTGGAGCTCAAACACAGTAAACTCCATAAGGCCAGGCAGGTTCTAGACCTGCTCATCGATAGAATATTTACCCTCTACCAGGTGTCGGAACACATTTACAGGTGTCACAAAGGGGGCATTTGACTTTCGATTGAGAAGTGTTATAGCAGTGTTTCGCTGAAAGGAGTGCTGGGTAGGTAAACGCCTTTGTTAAAGGCTGTGTAATTGAGCAGTCATGAACGTGTTGAGCCTGTGATGATTTATTAAGTGAGTTGTGTATGTTGAATGGTGTACGTAGCGGATTGCCACTCGCCCAACTCATTTAACTTTATTGTTGACAAACTTATTGAGGTGTCACTCTTATCGTCAGACTTCACAGTTGTTGATCTTGTCTCAAGAGACTGCTTAGTAGATCTAGAGTATACAAGTCACATAATCCTTCAGCAAATGTTCTTGTGCGATCTTGAGAGACAAATGCCGAACCCACTAGTGTGAACCAAGAAATAATAGTGTAGACTGTTAGAAATCGCATACTTGACGAATCGTGTCAATCTGTCTAGATACCTGAACTGACTGATTAGGGGGTTGTGAACAAGCAACGTGACATGGCAAATGGCGTGGATGCTTAACCGTGTTCCTTCAGCCTAAGAAATCTGTAAAAACTATGAGGGTCGGAATGAATATTAGGGTGATTATTTATCGCTACAGCCCTCAAACGTGAAGGTGCCGAGAAAATGCTGTGTCAACTTGAAAATAAAAATGAGTTAATAGTTTTGAAGGAATTGATTTAGTGTTTGAGATACGTTTCTCGCCAACCGAATTCAAGCTGTTCTTCCAAAACGAACCTTTACTGAAAGGGAGAGAAATAGTTTAACGCGTTGACCACTGGTGAGTCAGTGACTAACAAAATCTCTGCACGGATAGAAAAAGGTTCGATTGTCTTTCTGCAGCTTACGCATATTTATGAAGCCGCCGTGGTATGCGACTGCCTATTTTTAGCCAAGTGTACTACGCTTCAGTTGTCCCTGTCTTACTATAAAACATAGCCATTCAAGGTTGAGGATAAGAGAAGGCTTGACACACTCGACCATCTTTGCCTTCCTAACACAGACTATGTCGTGGTGTCACCTCGTAGGTAACACATGGTCTCAGCGAGAAGAGGAAAGCCAATTGATGAAGTTGTAAAAATTCAACGACTGAGGTGGACTCAAAAGGCTAAAACATGCTATCAATTCATGAGATGTTTGACCGTTAATCTGAGCTGTGTAGACTCTCCAGTCAAGGCCCGCGTATCAAGTGAAGTTGGTGGTTGGTGACTGGATGATATGGCTGCGAATCGATAAAACTGGTGCATATGTATCCACACGTCATCTTCATCTTAATTGTCATTCTGAATATCAGTAATTTCTTATTCCTCGTTCCTCTCTTTTATTCCTGCCAACAAATTCATTATTACTTTATCTTTGATTTTATTGCCTATGGGGTTCATACGAGGTATGTACCTGCTTGATAGTACTGAAGGGATGCTAAGTCAAATTGGTATGCTTTAAAGTAAAGATAAAACAATTTTACGAAACCGGCTGAATGCCTTGCGAAAATTTCGTTCACGCAAAATCAGTAGTTCAATACAAAGCCTTATTTGTTCACCCTGTAGCAAACAAATCAGATGAGTGGTAGGCTGAACAAGCAGTACGGTGTGATTAGTTAAAATCACGAAACCAAAAGTATGTAACCAGTTTGTTGGTGAAAAAAGTCTGAACATGTGGACAGTAACTCGAATGAATAAGAATAAAGAGCAACTGCCACATAAAGCTTATCCACTTAATGGATTTGATCAACGCCATCAAAACAACATGTACAGAATGAAATGAATTCAGTTGCATTTGATAGCTTATCTGAGGCGGCACATAACCTTCCAATGATTGGTGATGAATAGAAAGGTAATAAACATGGAGAACAAAACATAGTCGTCAGATCTACTTCAGGAAATTGTAGATGTATAGTGAACAGAATTAAACTGAGAACTCCATTTTAAAAAAAAGAAAATTAGAGGGTGACAAATATAGTGTAGGCGAAAGAAGTAAAGAAAAGTAGAGGTGTGAAGGTTTCGTGGATATAATTACAGACTAGTGTAAAATGAGCTTGGTTTAGGATGCAAGATAGATCAAATCAATCGAAATATTTATGCCAGTAAGGAAAGCGGTGGGGATATAAACAGTGAATGACGAGGGAAAATTGTAAAAGTTCGTCAAACGTTATAGTGAAAGTAGAAGGTTTTTGACCGTCTTTCTTCCGAGTACACAAACTGAGTTGGATTCTTCTGATTTCGGTAGCTTCTGAAAACCGAAGTAGAAGTGAAGTCTCCTACCCCACCGGGTTCCTCGAGGCTTGATTTTTTCGATTTGATGCTTTATATCAATCATTCGGTAGACTGTCGCACTAGTGAAGAAGGTTTGATCGTGGAGATATTGATACTTTGGAGAATGTTCAGAAACCCTAGTAGAAATATATGTCTATGTTCTTCAGCAAACTTGCTTTGATGTTTAAATATGAACTGATAACCGTATTTGAAGACAACTCGATTTAGAGTTGCTTAGTTAAGCGTGATGCTTGTAACCGTTTTAGCAGAGAAGAAAATATGAGCGACTGCATTTCTGATCTTATTGACGACTGCAGCAACATAGTGTCTTTTGAAGATATATTTCATTCCTATGGTATTGTACCGATTACTTTTCTTTTTTTTCTTTTCTGTTTATACTCATCAAAAGACGTGGAAACAGATCATCTTCAGATCTATTCTTGTCATTGAGTAATTATCTTCTCTACTTTCACTTTATCGATTAGAATTTTTCCACGACTAATTTTGTATATTGTTAGATCATTGGTTCTGTGGCGACAAATTGGTTAGTATGTGTTGGCTTCTTGTTCACTACTTTCTCCTAGTTTCCTCTATTAGCTCCACACCCTAAATTATCCTGGAATCATCAAATTCTGTTTTTGGTCCCAGCTATGCTATGGTATTGGTAAAACTGAAAGTATCATTAGACAGCTTTTGGATGATTTCCACTTTGTCTCTTTTTAATAATAAATAATGTAGTATCCTCGAAGGGAATTCAAATATTCATCTTGGTTATTGATGGAACTATGACTCCGAGTTTATGTATTACGAAGTGAACGATTAACGTCTGACGATTTGATTGGAAAGGTGTTTTTAGACAAAAATTGATCAATCAGACCTTTGAAAACTGACATTTTTTGTGCTCAGAAAGCCTTTCATTGTTAGTGAAGCGATTGGAGAGACGTATTTTATTTTGCTTCAGTCAATATCAGTAGGGATGTGACGTAGAAGTGTTCCATCGATTCACCATTGTTTGTATGAATACCCGTGATCATGCACAAAAATTCAGTCAGCGACATTGATTGGTCACTAAAGGGTAACCAACTTCATGTTGTCTAGTCCTAAGTGCTGATCGAATTCTATCGATCATTTTGCAATGTGGCCACCAGACTAGGCAGCTCAGTATCGTGATGCACTTAGGTAGAAATTAGTTGGATCGAGGCAGTCGGCAGTGAGCCCTGTATCTAGGTTTCGTGCTTGTTGACACTCCAGTGACCAATCAATGTATCTAACCCAGTCCTACAGGAGATGGCATAGGTTCTAATCTTAGGTGAGACATCAGTTCCGTGGAGGTTGCAGGTACGCCTTGCTGATGAGTGCCAACAAGCACGAAACCTAGGTCCAGGGCTTCCTGCCGATTTCCTCCGTCCAGCTAACATTCAACCAGTGGAGTATCGGCATGACTCCAAAAGATATTTCAACTTCATTCGAAGTTCTTTGGATAGACTATTACTCCATCCAACTCCTTAAACTGTAATAGTCTTGTTTTATTATCTTGTTTGTTTGTAGTGAAAACTGCCTTTTAATCACATCTGGTGAGTTGAAAACATTTCAAGTATTAGGTTGTTTATTTTCGGTGATTAACTGCGAAAATTCGAAAGTAAACCACAAATTTTCTGTGTATACCTTTTCGATTTGCTGTAGATATTGTTATGGCATCTAGTTTTGTTGAAGGATTTTCTCAATTGCACAGTGATGTTAATATTGCAGATCATTCTGGACCGAGTACAGTTTTATCCTGTTTCCTTATCGGTTACATCAGTGCCCTTAACTATGGATTTTTGCCAGCTATACAATCATATTCTTGTGCTGCTTATAATGCGCTCACATATCACTTGGCAGTTACTCTATCAGGAGCATTTTCTGCTATATCCACAGTATCAACCACATTTTTTGTGAATCGTTATTCCAAACAAATAAAGTCGACTGTTTATGGCGAAATTAGATCAATATCAAATGACTCACACAATATGAACTCTAGAATATCAAAACAGAATGATGCGAATTCTGGACACGAAGTCATAGTGATTGCGAACAAATCATTTATGAATTCAGTTCATAGAAAATGGATCGGTATTGTTATTGTTTCTTCATTGCCGGCAGCTTATCTGATTTGTTTGGCTAGTTCCAGTCCTAAACCACCTTTATTAGGTGGTTTCGGCTCTGCAAGTTCTGTACGTTCAGTTGACTTTCAACCGAATTTCTTTGGTTTGTAAACTTACTTATCATGTTTGTTACCAATATCCTGGTAAGATTTAGGTGCTTAGTCTGATTTAGGTTATTATTTGAGTAATAAAATCATAACCAGCTTTTCTTGAATTTTCTCGGTATTGGTATTATATTAAAATGTCTTAAAGTGTTTTTGTGGTTGTGGTTTTTGACATATTCTGAATCCCCGTTCTCCCTTTTAAATCTATGGGTATAAAATTATTGTGTTTGCGAAACTGAGTTTTTAAAATCACTCGATTAACAAATTTGGAAATGAATGGAATGAATTTGAGTTGATAGTCAAAGCAATTAACAGTTGAGTGTTGAAACTAATTTACAACATTATAACATAATGCAACATGCGTAAGCTTTGTGAATCTAATAAATTATCAATGGATATACAGCTGTCTATAGACTAAAGCATCAAACTGACTATTTTTGACTTAACCGCTTCACTTCAAACTGCCTGGCTGAGTAGTAGTTATGGGTTTGCTTCAGAAGGGATTTTCGAAAGACTCACTGAGAAACTGCCACTTAGTTGAGAGTGAAGATAAATGTCCACCAATTCCAATACATGGTGGGGGTGTTGTGTCACAGATTAATTGGATTTAGGAAGGTTGACTCGAAGTCGAAAGCCGAAATTCACTTAGAAACCATGTGCACGGATAAGCATTGTTACAGGCAAGATAAGGAGGCCTATCTTCGTTTGGTTGATTGATGAGGAATACCACTGAGTGCATTTGAAAAGAATCGTTAGAGAAGTAGATATCAATTGTTAAGTTTTTTTCTGAACGCCAACTTTTGGAAGACAATCTTCCTTTTGACTAATACTGTAATAATCTGTTTTATATCATCTAAGTTATTTCTGCATGAACTGCGTTAACCCACTGTCACTTAGACACTATCCAAACACATAGATTCCCTATGTAATCTCTTCAGCGGAGAATATCTCTGAGCTTTGTTAGCATTGTCCCTATTACTGTTCACAGGATTAGAACTCTTGTAGATCAAGTACCTTCCGCACCAATGGATATCGAAGTGATTGGTACGTTTTGCTGAAGTATTCTCTTCCCACTTTTGTGCACAATTAAAAAGCAGAAAAGGTAGGTTTCTTTTTCTGCTCTACCGTAAAGCTGATATTTTTGTGACCACTACTAGGAACATAACACAGATTATGACTGTTTTAATATACAGCAGACTACCAAAGCGTTAACCGGTTTACCAAGTTTGGTTTGATTTCATTTATTGAAGATTTTATGATGCTCTCACCTCTTCAAGTGTGCAACAAACATTGATGTTAGTATGAACCCTTCATTTAGCTACTGCACCAGTTTGTCAAACATAGGCATAAATGGAGCGGGAACTGCACTCTTAGTTCATAACACCAAGAGGAATTTCATTTTAATTATAAGTATTTCGGGTTTCAAACTGGTGGAAGGTTTCAGTGGTTGATTTCGAAGTTATACTGCTGAATAAAGAAGTTTCAACATAAGCTACCATCCATTTCCCCAACACGTCTAAAATCACTTTTCACAACATATCCAATCACTTCCTGAGAAGCTTCTCTGCAGGCAAGTACGCCAATTTCCAACAACTATAGTATCATACTCAGATTATGCAATTTAGGTTAACCACACATGAAAAGTAAAAATGATTTGTGAGATTTATTTCTTCAAAGGTTTTATTGTTCACCAGACGTTTCAAAAAACATTTTTCTCGATCTTTTGTTACTTGTTTTCTTGCAGTTATCCATTCTTAATTATGACATCCTTAACAACTAACTTGACTTTGTTACTAAAGCTTTTGTTCATTACTACCACTACTAATTCATCGACCGGTCGAAAAACTGAAAGTCGTGTAGCATTTTTCAAGTTTGTCAAAACCATTCTATTTTCTTTATGGAAAAGTTTGGATTAACCCAAGAGTGATAATTGATTCTCACTACCAATGTCAACAGGTTACGATGTGAATCCCCACCTATCTTCGTCAGACCTTTGATGACAAGAGTCCTCGAAACGCAACACTTGACATTTCAGTGATCTAACCTTCTCCTACCGTAAAAGTGAAGTTCAAGAGACAATACCTCCTCTTGGAGTTGATTCAACTACATCTGTCGTGAATCGCATATGCAATTATCCATATTGTCTAAGTCTTCCTAGAAAACGCCTTCACTAAAGTTAAAAACAGTTCTATATTTCCTATCCATGTTTTGAAATATACATACGGAGTATAGTAGATGGATTCTGCTTAGTTCAGCTATATACTTTTGACACAAACGCATTAAGCCAGCAGACCTGTAACTGCCGGTTTTGTTGATTCAGGTTGTGATTTGGATCTTTGTTGAAGGTAATTTTGCGTCGGTAGCGATTTCTGTGAGTGAAATATCTTTAAACTTAAGCCTAGCCGTGTCCCTTGATATTCTAAAATGCATAACTGCTGAATTACCTCAAAACTTGGAGGAATTGATTGGCAGTCGTCCCCCCCCCCCCCAAGAAAAATACGTACTACATTCACGTGACAAACTTATTGCAGACGAAGAGAACCATATCTAGCCCCTCATCTTTAATATTTTCCAGAATGTCAGCAGCATTTTTGCAGTTTTCATAAACGATTTTATGAAGTCTAAATAAGCGACGTTCATTAGAGATTTGAAGTATGTATTAATGTAATCAACAGCGAGATTATTTCAAGTGAAATATTTTTCTGAGTCACTTTTAATCCCAAACAACCATACAACCCATCACATAAATGAGTGGCGGATAACGGTAAGTGCATTTATCTCCTATCATCTTTGGTTCACTTTTCAAAAACATAGCGGTCCTACTTAAGGAGACACAATTTTCCCTAGTCCTTAAATCACAGGGTAGTGACTGTAGGTAGTGCTGTTTAGATTATACACCTGTTTTCACTGAACCCATCCCCAGACTGATTGTTATTTTATGAAACTCTGAACTACAACTAATCACGTGTTCTTTTGCTGACATTCGAGAGTAACTTTGCCTAGCTACAAAACATGGATTTGAACTTGTTGACGTTATGACTGAAATGCTTATATTCACTGCATTAAAAGCATGATATTTACTCACAAACTTGAGACAATAGCTTCATAAGAAAACGTTTGTCAGGTAGTCCACTGGGTTAATGCATAACGTTTTTCAATCGAAAATGTTATTTCACATTACTCAAATGAATTATAATAGTTGGTATGCAAATTTCTCATACAGCTGGCCTTAGGTGTTTGAATTATTAAGTATTGCAGTCTAAAGTGCATACTGGTATAGTCTGAGCTTACTATTAACGAAACAGAAACATTGAACTCCTTGTTACCCCCACAAGTCCGTTAAAGAAGATTCAACACGTATGTTTCGATAAATTATCTCGATTTACGAATCATATACATCAAAGACTATTATTTTGTTGCCAAGTAGTCGATACTTTCCGTTTTACTGCATTTTTATCGGCCATATTCCAATTAGGACGGATTTTTGCTTTCACCATATGGTTTCGGATGGCCGTTACACACCACACACATCTGAAGATAATCACTTGTGCTTATTCACATTTGAAATCAGGGCAACTTGCTTCGATGTCCAAAAGGCTGCATAGTGACACAGCAAACAAAGAGCAAGTGCATTAGCAACGAAACATGTAGCTTAGTTTTTGTCTGAACAATAACATAATACTCTCTGGTCAGTAAATTCAGATGACAAAAACCCTAAAATGGATAAAATATACTATCAGTATTCCAGTGCTGCTTAACTCTGAGATATTAACGCGCTTCAAATGAATGTTATATCTGAGCAATTGTACAAGAAAGCTATATTGTGAAGAAATCCTTACGAATTCAATTCAGTAAAGGAACACAACGATGAAACACCCCAGTATACCATCGAATAAACAAAGATGTTAACCAGAATGTAAATATATTCCATGATATCAAGGGAACGCTGAATTCGGTATAGGCTTCGAAGTACATAGAACAGTACTATTTACTACATAATAAGGCTTAAGTGCACAAAATAGTAGTAGATAATATAGATCGGTAGATAAACTGCGCACATAAATATTCTGTATACCATTTTATAATAACATAAGGGATTGAGGCAGCGTAGAATTTTAAACACAGTTATCTACCTTCATTGAGTAATTCATTGATTTGATTTTTGTTAGAAATAACAACGAAAAAATGAGAAATAAAGTTTCTATCATTTCATAGGACAACTAATAAGATAGGTATGCTACTGAAATATGAAAATCAACTGCTGCACATAATCTACTATGCATAAACTCAAATTTTAGTCGGTGTTGTATTAGAAATTGTAAAAGAATTTAGAAATAAAAATGTCACAAATGTTAGTCGGTAGTAGAATAATCCGGTTTTCGCCTGTCCATTCCCAACACTTGTGAATCTATAAACAGTGACAAAGTTTATAGCATAAAGTAAAGGAATCCTCATCAACTGAGTTGGCTTAGATGTGTTACGCATCCTGACTACTGATCACTTTGGTGTGCCACATTGTCTGAGACAGGATTATGCTGGAAAAAGGATAATGATGACGAGATCAAGGTGTGGCACCAGTCCATTAAAGTCTGTAACTCGACTGTATTTATAATAGAGTTACACTCTACCACAGCATCGAAATCTCTGACTGTTGGTCTAAGGTGTGTATGAAACTCCAGAATATCTGGAAGAGGTCATCGGAGTGTTAGAAATCAATGGTTGAAGACTCTTGGTCACACGGATCAAAATCAGTCACAACCGTGCAGATATATTCGGCCATTATAACCTTCAACATTCTGAAAGTTTTTTAAAGATCTGGATAATAGTACAGCAATGGCTACTGATGACTTTAACTTGATCCCTAAGTCAACCCTCCACAATTTGGAATAAAAGAAAACAGGAAGAGTAGAGCTATTTGATAATGGTACTGTTTCACGCAATCACACTGAGTGAGCGAAAATGAGGAAGACAGAAGCGAATCAACAGAATAACTAGCTGCTACATTGAAGAAAAAATATAGTCAAAAACAAATGCATCATATTTACACAGAGAGCCATTAAGAGGGAAGTTTTCATGGCCTACTTCTTAGCAAAACAATTTCCAAGGATAAATTTCCCCCCTCTCTTTTCACAGGCTTCTCATTTTTTTCTCCACTAACTTACACATGTTCGTTTCTTCATTGTGTGCTGCCATGAAGCTTGACAACTTGAACTAGTGCACACTTGTGTTGGGTTCTGAGTTGTTCACTTAGCTCGGAATGGTGAATTTTGTGGCGTATTGTGGATTTCCCGCAAGTGTAGTCTAAGGCTATTCTTGAACATATGATATCAGTATTTCACTGGATTCCAACCCAGTAGCTCAACGGTAATGTGCTGATCGCGGAATCTGAAGGTGCTGAGTACGCACTGCTGAGGATTCCCATACAAGGACGAATCAACTGTACAGTGTTTCCAGGTTTTTAAGGTTCCTTCAACTGATGTCAGTCCATGATGAATACCAACCTGAAATCAATCAATAAATCTCTACTAAAACCTCCAAATTGAATTTCAGTTTTGAGCTGTGTAAAAAGGCTGATAAATTTACGTTCCGCGACAAAATGTAGTTTTCTCCTCTCCTTCCTTTTCATACGAAGTCTAGTGGAGCTGCAGCTGACTGTTTTAGACATCTGACATTCAAACAATGGGTCTTGGGTTCGGCTTTACTCCACTTACTTCGACCCAGGTAAACAGACAGCATCATGAGCTCTTAAACATGAGATGTGGCTTATAACCTAGTATAAATAGTGACGTGTATATATGCTAAACTAGTCAATAAATAACTCTATTTTATACTTTTCCTGCATTTGCCTCCAGGAAATTCTATTCTATTAACATATGAGTACATTTCAGTCACTGTGGCAGAGCATAATATCAACATAGTTCTTTTTTTTATAGGTATCACACAGCGAAACAGTATTATTTACTGAGATTTTGAGCAGGATTTATTCCTCATAATCATATTGAGGTAAACACAAAACTTCACAGTCTAGTTTTTGTATTTCTATTATTTTTCATCCTTTGACTTAATGGGTAGTAAAAATTTTCACATATCCGGTATTGATATGGTGTCCTTCCTGTGACATGTCGACATGATAAACAAAGTTTCAGTGATCGATCTCTGTCTCCATCAATTTATTTTTCTGAATTGTCAACCTACCCCCATGTAGCTGTGTGACAACACGTATAGTTGTGGCTGAGCTCTTTTCTAGATTTTTATCTTCTTAAAGTCTACCATTCTATATAAAGCTAGGTTTCTATGTTCTTCTATAGTAAATGACCGAAGTTGGCCATTTAAACCCAATTATAGGAACTCGCAGTGATTAAGTGGAATAAGATAGACCAGAAAATTTCTATGAATAGCTACTATAAGATCCGTTAGTAGATAGATTGTGTACCTAAGTGAGTTTTTCGGGTTTAAACGCCTCAGACTTATTCAAAATCCTACTTAGAACTTCTGATGTTCTTTCTTTAAACGGCAAGACTGAAGGTTGTGAAATTCTTCCCGTAGTTTCATTACTAACACTATGTTTTTTATTATATTGTTTAGGGTAGCAAAGAACAGGAACTCAGCTATATATAGAATGGTCAACCCTATTAAGATTTAAAAGTCTAGAAAAGAGCTCAGCCGTAGCAATACATGGTGTAACATATACTAAGATAAAGTAGAGCGGAAGTCTCAAAAATAATTTATCTACGTGGAGAGATCGATAGCAGAAGTTTTACTCAGTGAACAGACATTTGTAACACGAATGACACCACACCGATGAAAAGCAACAGAACCACAAAAATGGACAATAAAATTCCGCGCTTACAGTGATATGATCATCAGCAATAAATTCTGCTTGAAGCCTTATCATTAAATAACACTGGTTCGCTGTGCGATAACATATCAAAAAAGAAATATGACAAACAGAAAAATAAAATCAACGTCAAACTTGTGATTCAGGTGTATCACACTTCACAGTAGCATGTAAAAAAGTGGATAGAATAAGAGTGACATAAAAGTGGATGAAGTTGTCTGAGAGAATGAAAAACCTGGAGATGAGTGAACCACTGACAACTATCGTCACTAGGAATCCACGCAACTAGTCTACATCTCCCAACACGGTTCGGATCAACAGTCAGATACTTCAGCGACTGGTGGTATCACATCCTAGTCTGAACACCTTGAACCCTCTTCCTACCTAATCAAAATTCTTCAAGCACTGCACATCGAGATAGGTGACGGCTCAGCATCCTCGACACACTCTCTAGCTACCTCAGTTCATAAAGCTTCATAACCTCATCAATCGAATTACTCGTCCTGTCAAGTATCCTTCATTTGACCTCAACACTTATCACACGGTCATTCCACCAAACACAAGCTAGCTAGCTATCAAGACACCTATGATCAAAACCCTGTAATCCCTCCATACCTTCTACTTTCAACAGCCGCGTCTCAGTCGTATAGCAGGATAGAATGGACTGCAGATCAGTATGCTCGTCCTCCAATAGGTGGTCACATATTTCGCCAGTCAGTGCCACACATGACGCAAGTTGACAAATCCCAAACGGGTCTTCTGTATCCCACCTGATGTTTCGTCAACAATCAGTCCGTTCCGGCCGGTGCAACTCCCCAACGTAAGTGAAGTGTTCCACACATTCCACCATTTCACTCCCTACCAATAAATTAGGAGTAGTAGCAGACTAGTTCTGGAGCATCATCTTACATTTCACAGATGTGAGATACATGTCAAACTCTCAGATTTCTGCTCAACATGTTTAGAAGACCCTGCACTTTGTCAGTGTTTTCACCTAGCAGGAGAATATCGTCTACAGACTTCATATTCAACCAGATGTCCTCCAGCGAGTAGACCAATCCATATGAAACCGAACTTATCTGAGGTCATTTCCATGAGTATGTCTATGAGGAATTTAAATATGAACGATGATGATAGTGAGCATCCCTAACGGACACCACTAGTATTCAAGTAACCCAATTTTGAGAAATATTCTAATTTACTGTTCAACATTATGTTATTTGCTATCAAACTACTGGCGAATATTGAAACTAACGCTCTATTTTAATAATAATCATGATAAAAACCGCACTTTTCATAGAAACGATGTCGTAATGTCTAAACTGATTATAGCTCAACTCTTTTAGTTATCACAGTCAAAGATAAATTAGTTAAATGTCACGAAAGTAGATGCTTGGATACTAAATACAACAAATATAAAGTAATGTATACTGAACACTGGTTATCATCAGTGAATCTAATACTAAAGGTTATCTGCGAAATACGGTCTGAAAACAACAATTCACAGAGAAACAAATGCAGCTAAAGTGTTGATAGAGTTTCTTTGATTTGTACAGGCTTCAAAAGATTCAATAAGAATGTGTTCATAACAATATCTAAACAGCGTAACACCTCATTCAGACAGAGTACTGCATCAAGCCTTCGAAAACGAAACCCAGATACTTAAACATCCAGGAGTAAGACACTACATGACAGAAGAAAGGGTAATCCGATATTGAGCATACCGTATCATGAACTAGCATTGATCATACCAAGTCTATCAACAGAATGAAATCCAGTTTCTATCATGTAATAGTTACAGAACGGAAGCTTTTCAAGGAACAAGCAGTATCAGTTCCTTAGGTGAATCCATTCATGAAAAGTCTAGGTTGATAGGGAAACACTGCAGACAAATTAGCTTATCCTGAAAATGTAAACTGTTATCCATGAAGACAAGATGGAATAAGAAAGACATTAGTGTATATGAAGTTAAAGTTAAATCAGATTTCTAAACAAGGTATTTTGTTTTTAAACAACTGGAAATAGACAACTAACAGAAAGCTCAAAATTGCTCCCAAAGCTGCACCGAATTGTGTCGACAATCCAGCTAGTCGAAGTTTCATCGGTTTATTGGAATGACTAGACAAACTCATCCATATCCATGTGCGTAAACTGGTGAATAGACATCGAACTGCAATCCATGCTAATATCTACAAGCATTGTGAAAAGATAAGTAGATGAAAATGTATGCATTTCCGAATGATCTGTATCAAAACTAGTCAACCAAATAAAGTAAAAAATTTATTGAGTCAGAGTACGATAGCTAAATAGTATATTCAATAATAAACTGTTATACGTTTGTGAAGTATATACAAACACAAATCAACAGCTTTAGAAAATGACACTGTCGAAACAGAAAATCTTCTTCGCAGAAACGTAGGGGTTATTCAGTCGGATAAGCTGGATGATAACTGAAAACTAGACGGTACTTAAAAATTGTTTCATTCTACTTTGGGGCTCCACAACAGTGGAAATACTTCATTTCATGGACTGCAGCACTCGAAGCATTTGTGTTTTGAGTAGTAATTCAAATTTAGTGAAGCTGCAACTCATTGGTCTATACACTAGTGGCTTAATGATTTGAATGTCGCTCCACCGAAGTATGACTTAGCAGTTAGATAGTATGATTAGCCCTTACATAGAATACATCAACCACCGCCTACTGCGCGAATGTGCACATGGTTTCTAAGTGAATTTCGGCTTTCGACTTCGAGTCAACCTTCCTAAATCCAATTAATCTGTGACACAACACCCCCACCATGTATTGGAATTGGTGGACATTTATCTTCACTCTCAACTAAGTGGCAGTTTCTCAGTGAGTCTTTCGAAAATCCCTTCTGAAGCAAACCCATAACTACTACTCAGCAGGCAGTTTGAAGTGAAGCGGTTAAGTCAAAAATAGTCAGTTTGATGCTTTAGTCTATAGACAGCTGTATATCCATTGATAATTTATTAGATTCACAAAGCTTACGCATGTTGCATTATGTTATAATGTTGTAAATTAGTTTCAACACTCAACTGTTAATTGCTTTGACTATCAACTCAAATTCATTCCATTCATTTCCAAATTTGTTAATCGAGTGATTTTAAAAACTCAGTTTCGCAAACACAATAATTTTATACCCATAGATTTAAAAGGGAGAACGGGGATTCAGAATATGTCAAAAACCACAACCACAAAAACACTTTAAGACATTTTAATATAATACCAATACCGAGAAAATTCAAGAAAAGCTGGTTATGATTTTAGAAGCACACTGGGATTATATTTTATTACTCAAATAATAACCTAAATCAGACTAAGCACCTAAATCTTACCAGGATATTGGTAACAAACATGATAAGTAAGTTTACAAACCAAAGAAATTCGGTTGAAAGTCAACTGAACGTACAGAACTTGCAGAGCCGAAACCACCTAATAAAGGTGGTTTAGGACTGGAACTAGCCAAACAAATCAGATAAGCTGCCGGCAATGAAGAAACAATAACAATACCGATCCATTTTCTATGAACTGAATTCATAAATGATTTGTTCGCAATCACTATGACTTCGTGTCCAGAATTCGCATCATTCTGTTTTGATATTCTAGAGTTCATATTGTGTGAGTCATTTGATATTGATCTAATTTCGCCATAAACAGTCGACTTTATTTGTTTGGAATAACGATTCACAAAAAATGTGGTTGATACTGTGGATATAGCAGAAAATGCTCCTGATAGAGTAACTGCCAAGTGATATGTGAGCGCATTATAAGCAGCACAAGAATATGATTGTATAGCTGGCAAAAATCCATAGTTAAGGGCACTGATGTAACCGATAAGGAAACAGGATAAAACTGTACTCGGTCCAGAATGATCTGCAATATTAACATCACTGTGCAATTGAGAAAATCCTTCAACAAAACTAGATGCCATAACAATATCTACAGCAAATCGAAAAGGTATACACAGAAAATTTGTGGTTTACTTTCGAATTTTCGCAGTTAATCACCGAAAATAAACAACCTAATACTTGAAATGTTTTCAACTCACCAGATGTGATTAAAAGGCAGTTTTCACTACAAACAAACAAGATAATAAAACAAGACTATTACAGTTTAAGGAGTTGGATGGAGTAATAGTCTATCCAAAGAACTTCGAATGAAGTTGAAATATCTTTTGGAGTCATGCCGATACTCCACTGGTTGAATGTTAGCTGGACGGAGGAAATCGGCAGGAAGCCCTGGACCTAGGTTTCGTGCTTGTTGGCACTCATCAGCAAGGCGTACCTGCAACCTCCACGGAACTGATGTCTCACCTAAGATTAGAACCTATGCCATCTCCTGTAGGACTGGGTTAGATACATTGATTGGTCACTGGAGTGTCAACAAGCACGAAACCTAGATACAGGGCTCACTGCCGACTGCCTCGATCCAACTAATTTCTACCTAAGTGCATCACGATACTGAGCTGCCTAGTCTGGTGGCCACATTGCAAAATGATCGATAGAATTCGATCAGCACTTAGGACTAGACAACATGAAGTTGGTTACCCTTTAGTGACCAATCAATGTCGCTGACTGAATTTTTGTGCATGATCACGGGTATTCATACAAACAATGGTGAATCGATGGAACACTTCTACGTCACATCCCTACTGATATTGACTGAAGCAAAATAAAATACGTCTCTCCAATCGCTTCACTAACAATGAAAGGCTTTCTGAGCACAAAAAATGTCAGTTTTCAAAGGTCTGATTGATCAATTTTTGTCTAAAACACCTTTCCAATCAAATCGTCAGACGTTAATCGTTCACTTCGTAATACATAAACTCGGAGTCATAGTTCCATCAATAACCAAGATGAATATTTGAATTCCCTTCGAGGATACTACATTATTTATTATTAAAAAGAGACAAAGTGGAAATCATCCAAAAGCTGTCTAATGATACTTTCAGTTTTACCAATACCATAGCATAGCTGGGACCAAAAACAGAATTTGATGATTCCAGGATAATTTAGGGTGTGGAGCTAATAGAGGAAACTAGGAGAAAGTAGTGAACAAGAAGCCAACACATACTAACCAATTTGTCGCCACAGAACCAATGATCTAACAATATACAAAATTAGTCGTGGAAAAATTCTAATCGATAAAGTGAAAGTAGAGAAGATAATTACTCAATGACAAGAATAGATCTGAAGATGATCTGTTTCCACGTCTTTTGATGAGTATAAACAGAAAAGAAAAAAAAGAAAAGTAATCGGTACAATACCATAGGAATGAAATATATCTTCAAAAGACACTATGTTGCTGCAGTCGTCAATAAGATCAGAAATGCAGTCGCTCATATTTTCTTCTCTGCTAAAACGGTTACAAGCATCACGCTTAACTAAGCAACTCTAAATCGAGTTGTCTTCAAATACGGTTATCAGTTCATATTTAAACATCAAAGCAAGTTTGCTGAAGAACATAGACATATATTTCTACTAGGGTTTCTGAACATTCTCCAAAGTATCAATATCTCCACGATCAAACCTTCTTCACTAGTGCGACAGTCTACCGAATGATTGATATAAAGCATCAAATCGAAAAAATCAAGCCTCGAGGAACCCGGTGGGGTAGGAGACTTCACTTCTACTTCGGTTTTCAGAAGCTACCGAAATCAGAAGAATCCAACTCAGTTTGTGTACTCGGAAGAAAGACGGTCAAAAACCTTCTACTTTCACTATAACGTTTGACGAACTTTTACAATTTTCCCTCGTCATTCACTGTTTATATCCCCACCGCTTTCCTTACTGGCATAAATATTTCGATTGATTTGATCTATCTTGCATCCTAAACCAAGCTCATTTTACACTAGTCTGTAATTATATCCACGAAACCTTCACACCTCTACTTTTCTTTACTTCTTTCGCCTACACTATATTTGTCACCCTCTAATTTTCTTTTTTTTAAAATGGAGTTCTCAGTTTAATTCTGTTCACTATACATCTACAATTTCCTGAAGTAGATCTGACGACTATGTTTTGTTCTCCATGTTTATTACCTTTCTATTCATCACCAATCATTGGAAGGTTATGTGCCGCCTCAGATAAGCTATCAAATGCAACTGAATTCATTTCATTCTGTACATGTTGTTTTGATGGCGTTGATCAAATCCATTAAGTGGATAAGCTTTATGTGGCAGTTGCTCTTTATTCTTATTCATTCGAGTTACTGTCTATATGTTTCACCGAAAGACAGGTAGATAGAATCAGTGTACGACTTGGCATACAAGTGCATCGGTTCAAGTTACCAAACTTCACAATGGTATATAAAGACAGGTGGGTAGAATAAGAATGATAACGAATGGGGCAAAGTTATGTGAGAGAATAATGACCTGAAGATAAAGTTTAGTGTGAATATTTAAGATGTCAAAGAATGAATAGATTTTGACTACTGTGACCGACTTTCATCCACTTTACGATGACTCTTCAATCACCGACACCTATCGTCACTAGGAATCCACGCAACTAGTCTACATCTCCCAACACGGTTCGGATCAACAGTCAGATACTTCAGCGACTGGTGGTATCACATCCTAGTCTGAACACCTTGAACCCTCTTCCTACCTAATCAAAATTCTTCAAGCACTGCACATCGAGATAGGTGACGGCTCAGCATCCTCGACACACTCTCTAGCTACCTCAGTTCATAAAGCTTCATAACCTCATCAATCGAATTACTCGTCCTGTCAAGTATCCTTCATTTGACCTCAACACTTATCACACGGTCATTCCACCAAACACAAGCTAGCTAGCTATCAAGACACCTATGATCAAAACCCTGTAATCCCTCCATACCTTCTACTTTCAACAGCCGCGTCTCAGTCGTATAGCAGGATAGAATGGACTGCAGATCAGTATGCTCGTCCTCCAATAGGTGGTCACATATTTCGCCAGTCAGTGCCACACATGACGCAAGTTGACAAATCCCAAACGGGTCTTCTGTATCCCACCTGATGTTTCGTCAACAATCAGTCCGTTCCGGCCGGTGCAACTCCCCAACGTAAGTGAAGTGTTCCACACATTCCACCATTTCACTCCCTACCAATAAATTAGGAGTAGTAGCAGACTAGTTCTGGAGCATCATCTTACATTTCACAGATGTGAGATACATGTCAAACTCTCAGATTTCTGCTCAACATGTTTAGAAGACCCTGCACTTTGTCAGTGTTTTCACCTAGCAGGAGAATATCGTCTACAGACTTCATATTCAACCAGATGACCTCTAGGAGGTAGATCAATTCCTGTGAAGTCAGACACCGACAACTATTTACATACTCTTGATAGCGTGATTTCATCTCACATTTACGCATTTGCATTATAAGGTAAGTTCATTTTGATTACGTACCTATTAAATTTATAACGTTGTCACTAAGTGTAAACACGCACTATATTTGAGGACTATCGTCTAGTTCCTGAAAATGAGTTTAATCGCTGAAGTCTCACTGATATTACTAAAGTCGCAAGGGAATAAGAATCTGTAATAAGCAACAACATTGAACAGTTCAGGGGGTCATGGAAATTTAAAGTGTGGTTGCGAATATGTGGCAACACTACACGTTGACTATGAAAATGTTCGGTAACCCGACAGTAGCACTTGACTAGCTCAGTAAAAAGTATTCTGAAGTTGTACGTCGGTCAAGTACGTACGAAAAGAGCCTACTGTGCTATTAAATCCCAAATGGTTGGACCTGTGCATATGTGTGAAGCATATGGAGAATAGTGATATGAGCGAACGACGAACGCTGTTGTAGGACAAGGACACTAGGTGTTATTATCTTTGTTGAAATCTCTCACAGACGGAGTGATTCTATTCACTCAGGAATAGTGGTCTTATTGAAGGATAAAAAATAATGGATAAAGATGAACACATAAAATAAAAGAGTGAAGTCGATGAAAATATACGGGCTTTATGCAAGTCTTCATTGAAAACCTATGATGTTTACAATATACCTTTCACATACAAAATGTATGACTATGTTCCAGGACTAGTTTGCACCAATGTCTAAATTAACATTGCACAAAAAGTCGGTTAGGTGCGTCAACATTTTACGTAATTAGACAGTCATTGGAACTTCGTGCATGTGATCATTTGGTAAATCTGATGAAAAACTACTTAATAAGAAAGAAAACAAACATACCACTTTCAGATTTCTCAAAGGTGAGATCAAAAGTTTTTATGCTTTCACGTGAAGCAGGTCTTCTTAGATCATTGTTGTCACTAGAATCTAGTTTGAGACTATTTTTTTTATAGTGTTCGTGAACAGCTTTCCCCAAACCAAAAGATGAACAGTCCAATAAAATGAATGCATTCAAGGAGAATGCCAAAACCACACATAACAGATATATGAATGTACTAATTGTAAAACGCGGTGGTGAGAAAAAAGGCACCACTTGATATGTACCATTAACTGGAAAAGACAAAAGGAAGTAACTAAAATAAACTTGTGAATAAATAAGTATTGATATTGTGAAAATGAATACAATAGACTATAACTGTTGAGAACTGTTCTGGTTGATGAAATCAAATATATAAAACTGATGCTTCAGTCAGTAATTTGGTCAACACGGGCACAGAATGTAACAACCAAACCGAGTGATAGCGTTATACAGTATTAGAAGTTTGCTGTGAGTTGGCGAAAAGGAATCGCCCCATGATAACTCCCACAACTGAAGAAAAACCATGAGGTCAAACGAAGGATAAATCACGTCAACCTCGTGAGCATAGCTCGTTAATAGAAAAAAAAGCTTTCATCTGATTAACTCAGAAAGGTTGAATTCTTTTCATACCCATATTCATTGTACTTCATGTTGACGTCCGCTTACTTGTACAATTTTATGTATAGGCCAGATATCTACTTATGTATCGAAAATCTACCGAACTATGCAGTAGACCACTCTATGAGAATCCATAACTAGGAAACAATGACTACTTGGAGAGGAAGATATAGGAAGATTGTAGGTATTTGATTACAAATGCATACGAAGCATCACTTGCATACGGTGAAGGCAAATCAGTCGATGAGGTGAAGAACTTCTACCGGTTAGTATTCTACATACGAATTGCGTACATCAAACCATAGTTCACTCCTACACATAAAACCGACTGGAGTAGAAGTGGAGATAATGAAAGCTGCAGATGACTGTACAAAATCATAGCATCAATCCCTGACTGCTGCTCTGAGCCATATGTGGAAATATGAACTACCTAGTTTGTACAAACTATCCAAGGCTAGACAACTAGGTTGGAACTTGATTATATGACTATATCTCGAATAAGCTATGCATCACAGAAATAACTTATGGGTACAGGACAGAATGTTTAATTTTCGAGTGTGGTTAAGATAATTGGTGCATTTAGAGCTACACTAGGCATTTGTGAACACTTTTGAAAGTGTACGACTTCTCTCTCCACAATTTTTTCAATGATAAGTCATCATCATGTTAGTTACAACGCTACACAAATTACTTTTATGCAAATACATCTTAAAGTTTCCATAGCCTATGGTACAGCTGAAAAGGGTGAAGAAATACCATAAATTCATTGCATTCCACAAAATTTGTTGTTTGTGTTCAATCAAAATACAGGAAAGGAGTCAACAGTAGACGAAATCTTTAACCTAATTCACACAAAACTTTATGTGATTAACACTCTATTTTATAAATAATCATAACTTATTAACACGCCCCTAAGCTAAATCAAATGAAAAACGATTCCATATCATCAATTCTCAACATACTACACGATAGCTCAACTCCCAAAAGGTGAATATCAATAATGTCTATCACAAAATGTAAATTTACGCTTTAGCATAAAATTATTATACATGAATAGTTTTTATTGAAAAAGACATCACTTTTATACCTGTTGTATTAATACATTCTGGTTCTGGACCAACTCCTTGAATAAGCGCTAGTACACTTGGAACTAAGTCACTAAATGCTTCACCAAAGTGTAAAGCTCCCACGTACAACTGAGGCATTCCATTTAGGTATGTTATAAACGTAACAGATGAAGTACAATCAACTGTTGATGCTAATAGAGCCAAAATAAACAATCCAATACTATGATAACCAGTTTTTAGAGATGGTATATAAATCACTGTCTACAAAAAGAAAAAAAACAGAAGTAAAATAATGCGATCAAATAATAGTATGTGATAACGAAATAACTAGGTAATAATACACTTGAAACTACTTCAAACATTTCACAGCTACCTCAACAGTTACAATCTACTCTACACACCGTCAGTCTTGTAACATAACAAACGAAACAAGAAGAAAGAGTAACATTTCAGTACATTATTGGTTTTAGGAGAGAATCCATAAAATTCAGTTGAAGAACCTTGCCTTGCTACCTAAAAGACAGTGAAATGAACTTCGCCTTCTGAAAACGCATCTGCTGATGTGTTCGTATACACTACTTTGTGAACTGCGATCTAGGAAGTTAAATTCATCATCCCCTTCACTGTTCATTTTAAATGTTTTATTACACCACATTTTGCTAACAGCATTTAGCACATCGGAAGCATGTTTAAGATGAAAGCATACGATGGTTATTATCCCGAACTCAACTAACCTAGAACAATAGTTTCTTGATCGCATTATTTGTCATAATCTGTTGTGGACTTTCCTTGAAGATGATGACCCAACGGAGTAACTATGACAAATTCATCGATTTGACGATATACTACGTTGCTATATTGACACTACATTTTTTCATACGCATCATTAAAGCAAATATGATTTTGTCTTTTAGTAAGGAAAGTGGTTGATAATACTGAATTACAACCCTTATTATTGCGTCCAGTGTATTATGAAATATGTTTTCTAACTTCGTATTACAGATGGACTTAGTTCGAATACTCACATAATGTTAAACCACCTACTGATAGGCAAACCATAACTCCTACTAAACAACTAGCTTTTAAACTGATGTTACAGTGAGATGGTTTAAAATTTTTAAAACGTATCAACGATAATGGCTGAAAAATGTTTTCTTCAGAGCTTGATTACTCATTCAACCTGCCTTTCAACTCATTTTAATATTTTCCGTTTATGTTGATTTCTACTTCCAGCACAACTAGGAGTGCATTAACTTAAACGGTTCAGATTTTTAAAAAGACAATTTCTCAACTGTTTGTTGTTCAGTTAAATATTTCAGAATGATAAATGCAGTCTACATTTACTATTCTAATGTTTTTAATAGATAAAGTGAAGTGAGCGTTTAACGTTGTATTTAGACTTAAAACTTTGGTGGTGAGTGATCGTTTACTTCCAGTTCTGTTAACAGTAATGTGAGCAAAACCTTAATTTTAATGAAAAACTTTAATTGTGAAGTGAGACAGGACTCAAATACATGCGTTTAAAGTCGCTAAGCAAGAGGACTAATAATTAGCTGTCTTGAAGTTGTGATCGCAGCAAAATAACACTCAGATAATTGTATCCGGATATGTACAAATGCAGAAACCACAAATTATTAACAGACAGTTTGATAATCATCGCGTCCGGTATAGATTGGTGGTAAAGTCGCTAACTACAACACTGGGTGACACGGGTTCGAATCTCGGGTAGAACATCAGTTCCGTAGAGGTTGCAGATACGCCTTGCTGACGAGTGCCAACAAGCACGAAACCTAGGTCCAGGGCTTCCTGCCGATTGCCTCCAACCAACTAATCATCGTTATATACTTAAGCGACAGAGTTAAGATTAGAAAACTGATAAATATTGAAGTAGATAGTTCTGAAATAGCTTTTACTATAGTAAATAGCTTATTCGAATAATTTGCAGCTTAAATGTCTCAATATTATACATTTCTCTAGTCCATGATGCAAATGATTCTGCTGACAATGAAATTCTTATCAGTGATCTAGTTCTGTTTTTGTGAACCTCATGATTTGAGACACTAAAGAATATCTGTATCTCAGATGCCGGATTTTGGTGGTGTCAAGATTTCTGATTTGGATCGCTTACTCGTGAAGCTTTTATGGTCTTACTAGACATCATTCGCATTAGTTAGTGTTCAGAGGGTAAAACCGCCTGAATTCCACGATTTCACATTACCAAATGACTAAGTTCTGCTATTACTCACCTTCCAAAACTGTGCAAGTAGTAAACATGATATTAAAGCAATTGTAAGTATCAAATAATTAGCTATCCTCTCCGTGGTTGTAAACAACGTGAACAAAATCCATTCGTTTTGGATTGGAACAATTTCGTCAGAGGGACATATAGAACAGGGCCAACATTGGCTATCTAGCAACGTTTAAAGGAAAATCAGAAGGTTTAAACTTTTCCGCTGAAAGTTATATTTAAACATAAGACTTACGAACCTAACAGACAAAAAGAAAGATGAATTTCATTCTTTCTAGCATAACATAACCACATACGCGAAAACAGAAAACAATGCGAAAAGCGGAAAGAGATACACGTGTTGTAAACGGTTACATAGGCAAGCCATCAATGTTCACGGACAGTTAACCAAGTTTTTTCACTCAGACAGATAATATCAAAATAGGACCTGACATTACTGAGTAACGATCTAAGTTGCCACACCGCATATCAAAACATCGAACGAGAATGCAATAATATGAAAAATAAAGAAATCAAGAGAACAGTAAAAGCAGCAGAAAGTTGTAGAAAGAAAGCAAGGAAGAATCACAGAATACTGAATGCAGTATAGCAATCAAGAAGAAGATAATGTTTGCATAAAAATGCACCACTGAGATCGATTCTGAGCCACGTCATGTAGAGTCACCAATCACTGGTTTCTGTTGCCAGATGGACCCAGAATAACAGTTAAAGATTTCATGCACTGACGCTGTATTTTAGTCCGGCTACCTCTAACACCTTATGGCCTGAATATACTTAGGTTAACATTATTCGATGGGGTAGATGTTCACTAGGCATATATGACACAAGTTCTATTCACCACAGTCGATGAAGGTTCACAACCTAATCCACTGACTTTCCTCATCTCCCTGAAACTCCACACCTGACTTCAACCTTATGTGATGACACCACAACATATGGTCTATGCTATGAAGGCAAAGATGGTCGATTATGTGAAGCCTTCTCATATCATCCACCTTTAATGGCCGTGTTTCCCAGCCATACAGTAGGACAGAGTGAAATGCAGCGTAGTACACACTGTCCATAATAGGCGATCGGATATCACGGCGGCACCATAAATATGCGTAAGCTAGTGGAAGCCAATCGAGTATTTTTCATGCGTGCAGAAATTTCGTCGGTCACTGACTCATCAGTGGTCAACGCGACCAACTTCTTATTGCTGGACAAGGCAACAATGAAGGTCCGTTCTGGAGTAATAAATTCCCATCGGTAAACGTGAAACATGTAACCCAGAAATTTTGAAATTGCTACCAAGGTGTCCAGTGGTTACTATATCTTAGCATAACATAACTACGTCATCTGCGTACTCGAGATCTATCAAAGACTCCCCTATAATAAGATCAAGTTCTGTGAAGTCAATGAGTACGACTATGATGAAGTTGAATAAGACTGGAGAATGTTAACATTCTTGACGTACACCGGTTGACGTATACAACTCACCCGGTAGATCACCATAGGGATCAAACACACGCATAGCTGCCTGAGTACACTCTTCAACAAAATGATGTACTTACTCGGCAGCCCTTACAGTGACACACACTGCCATAAGACCAGACGATAGACAGAGTCGAGTGCTACCTTCACATCGAGAAACGCAGTTAGTATCGAGAGTCAGAAAGCGTACCCAGGTTCCAAAACCTGATGGAAGGTGTGTATGTAGCCAATATACACCCACAACTAGATCTGGGACTTTCCAGTTTTCCTCTGGTTTCTTGTTACCGAGCTCCACTCAGACGCTTGATGATTATGGAACCTAGAGTCTTAGACATTATGAGAGTCATGTTGATTTCTCTGTGGGTACGACTGAAGGATATCCCGGTTTTCTTCAAGAACGAGGCAATCAGTGATTGGGACCAGTCAAATGGGATCACATCTGAATAACAAAGGTCAGTTAAACTAGTCAATAATTCTTGAGCACTGTTCCTGAAAACCTCTGGTGCTAGCTCATTTAATCCTGTTTCCATTCCTCATTTTAGATTACTTACAGCTTTCTCTATTTCTGAGAGCGTTGGATACCCTAAATCAATGTTTCATTTAGGATCCCACTGGAGGGTGGAAAATTGGATATTAGCTGACGGTCAGCTGAACTCTTCTTCAATGTTTTCCACCGATTGTTCCAGTCATCTCACATGCTAGCGAATCACAGATAAATCCTTCTCCGCTATAGTTTTGCTAATCATTGACTTTCGCCTCAGGTTTCCTACGTTAGTCTAAATAACCGTCCACTATTTCGTATCGCCGCTGCCTTTTCAATCTCTTTAGCCTTTGATATCCACTATTGTTCGTGGCCATTGTGTAGACATTTTATCAACATACATTTGAGTTGTTTCCGGTCGTCATTTCGCTTAGAGTCTTCACACTTGCGTTTACGAGCATCCATTAATTCATAAGAATGTAGTAAGATTCATATTCTTTTTCTTATCACTTACTGAATTACTTACCATATTAAACGCTATCTTTACAGTAGTTGACAGACTTTGATCTGTTCTCATAACTCTCTAGTCAATTCCTTGCTAAAAGCACCCTTATCATTCTCATCATTGAATTTTTTCACAATGGTCTTGATAATGTAGTTTCTGCGCGTCCATTTCGGAGCAGATATATACGTCCGTGAACTAATGAATGATCACTGTTCAAACACGTTCCCCAGAAGAAGCAGCAATCCTCTTCCGAGTCTCTCTATCGACAGGTGATAGCAATATGGTCTGTCTGTGTAGATTGTTGGCTGAGGTCGATGGACCTAAGTTTAGACATTGTTTACTTTTATGTCGGAAGTTCATGCTGATCAGAAGACTGCTATCAGACCACAGATGTAGCAGCCAATCGTCTTTATATGTCCCTTCGCCTAGGATTCTAAAAGTGCCACTTAAATGTCTTTTTGCATGACTTAGACTTCCCATTTGGGAACTGAAATTGTCTGCTAGAAAAACCATGTCTGAGCGTTTGGCCTTCAATAAAAGACCAGAAAGTTTTCGGTAGAATTCATGCTTCATATCGTGTGAAGTGCAGTCAGTGGGTGCACAAAGAGGCAACAGTAACTTCCACTTTTCTTTTTAGTCTTTAGTGCACTGTTCAGCCGAATAGCACACAGGTGACTGTCAACTGGAATCTAGTCGAGCCGTGTACTTAGCACATTAACACTTGAGGCTACACTTACACCCGCAAGACCACGAGTCTCTACAGACTCGAAAGCTAAGATTTTCGAATCCACGACGATGGTTAGATGAGGTTAAGTGAACAACCGCACTTTGTACTGTATGGGTGTCTCACAAACACACCACAAATCTATGGTCTGAGGTGCTAGTTTTGGTTATTGAAGCTTGACCGATTTGACTGAAGCTGCGGATGTTGAAAGCATCAGTGTAGTTTTGAGCGCGGGTTCAGAAGACCAAAGTTGCTGTCTTGTCAGCTCAGGTCGTTGTTAAGAGCTGCAGAGAAGGAGAAATTAAAGATTTCATGGGAATCTTGATCAAGAGATGTGGAAGAAGATCAAAAGTTACGGATGTAGAAGGTGGACGGTGGTCTGACGGAACTTGAGTGCCGAGAGAATTATAAAGGTGGTTGACACTTTCTAGTTAACCACACCGTGGAAGACTATTTCATTTTGAGGTACATGGAAAACAAGAGCCAGTGTGTGGTGGTGGAACCCAATAGACAGATGCTATAAACCGGTGAGCTTTAAGTTAATCGTTTCGAATCCATCTGTGAACTCATATTGCAGGCACAGGCATGGCCACGGGGAAAACAGACATACACAAAATCAACATAGAACCTAGCACATAAGTGCATGGGTTCAAATTGCCACAATTTACAGTAGCATAAAGAGAACAAGTGGATAGATAAAGACTAACATTAAAGAAGACAAAGGTGTACGGGTCCAAAAGGAATCTGAAAATGAAGATAAGTCAAAATATACAAGCTTCAGGAGACTACACAGCGTAGGTAAATCTCGACCACTGTGACTAACCTTTAACCATTTTACGACGAGTCCTCAACCACTGATACCTACGGTTGAAAGGAACCCAGTCAGGTAGTCTATATGGCTAAGACCACTAGTCAGAGAATTAATGCACTAGTGCCACGTTTTGGTCTGGTCATCCCAAAACTTCGTCCAAACGAACCCAACTTCCCTTACCGTTGTACTCCAAGGTAGGCGATGATTCAACATTCAGAACACATGATCAAGCTACCTCAGTTGCTGAAGGTTCACAACCTCATCAACCAAATCTTCTTCATTGCTTAAGTACTCTTCGCCTAAACTCGATATTTGCTCACACGGTCAGTCCCTCAAACGAAAGCAATACTACGAAGAAGCCCACGATCAAAAACTTGTGATCTTTCCATATCTTTTACTTTTAATGATCACGTGCCATATCCGTATGATAGGACAAAACAGACTACACCTCAGTTTACTTAACCTTCAATAGGTAATTGGACATCTCGCCAGTAGGCGCTGCAGATGGCGCAAGTAGTCAAATGCTAAACAGCTCTTCTGTATCCGAACTGAGATTTCATCAGCAACCAACCTGTTCGGGCTAATGATAATCCCCAAGTATTTTAAGTGGCCGACACATTCCACCACTTTACTCTCTATCATGAAACTAGGAGTGGTTGCAAACCAGTCCTGGAACATTATCTTACATTTGACAGGTGTGAGACGGATACTAAACATGCTCAGGTTTCTTCTCAATGTGTTTAGAAGACTGAATTTTTCCAGCATCTTCACCTAGCAGAAGAATATCGTCTGCATACTCCAAGTCAACCAAATGACCTCCAAGAAGTAGATCATTTCCTATGAAGTCAGAGGCACCTGGGATTATGTTCATTAGTATATGTATAACGAAATTAAATAGCCACTGAGACAGCAAGCCTTCCTAGCAGACATCACTAATTGCTGTCAACTCACTTGACAACTCTCCATAAGTCCTTTCACAGCTGCACGAGTTCACGTAGAGAGATTCGATAAGCGTTAAACGCCTACTTGGTACTCCCTTAAAATCAGACACCGTCAAAACACTGCACGGTCGACAAGGTCAAATGCCGCCTTTAGGTTAAGAAAAATGGTAGGTGGCGGGCACCTCCAAGTTTGCCTACGCTTCAAAGATGATCTGATAGTTGCACCA